GTGGTGGCGCGTGCCTGTAGTCCCAGCTACTCGGGAAGCTGAGGCAGGAGAATCGCTTGAACCCGAGAGGCAGAGGTTGAAGTGAGCTGAGATGGTGCCACTGCACTCCAGCCTGGGCGACAGAGTAAGACTCTGTCTAAACAACAACAACAACAAACCAAAACAAAAAACAAAAAAAAAAAACTGGTGTCACTCTGGGTGTTTATAAACACCACCATTTAACCGGCAGCCAGTGCCAGGTGGCCCAAACAAAAAGGAAAGGTACTGAACACACACAACTGGGACAGGGCTGGGGATGCAGCCCACACGCTGCCGCTGACGTAGGTGGGGCAGAACCCTGGCCATCAGGAACCAGAAACCAATTCGCTCTCATCATTCCAGTTTGAGCTCCTGGTCCCACCTCAGGGTAGACCTAGGCATGAGTAATAACCACTGTTCCATGAATTAAAGGTTAATTATTTGGTTACATGTATCACTGAATACTGACCTAACCCCCCTACATCTAGTATTTTTTTTTCTGAGATGGAATCATGCTCTGTCATCCAGGCTGGAGTGCAGTGGCGCAATCTCAGCTCATTGCAACTTCTGCATCCGGGTTCAAGTGACTCTCCTGCCTCACTGTCCCCAAGCAGCTGGGACTACAGGCTCACGCCACCATGTGTGGCTAATTTTTCTATTTTTAGTAGAGACGGGGTTTCATCATGTTAGCTGGTCTTGAACTTCTGACCTCAGGTGATCCACCCCACTTGACCTCCCGAAGTGCTGGGATTACAGAACTGAGCCACCGTACCCGGTCAATTTAAAGAGTTTTTAGCAAGTTGGAGCAATTCTTTTCTTTAGAATTTAGTTGATACAGTATTTGTCTTAACAGTGAGACACACACATTATCTTCTACTTCTCCGGTGAGGCTGTGCCACAGAGCGTATGGGAAGTAGAAAAGCTCCTTTTTAATGCTGCCTTTCTTGTTAAAGAATAAGTATGCTAATAGCTTTGTTAAGCCCTATCCTATATAGCTGGTAGACACGCCATGCTTACAGGCACATAGTACATTCTATGTCCTTGTACTTTAATCAGGATATCTGTGCTGGACGTGCTCACAGGCCTGTCCCAGCTCTCCCTTGCTTTTATCTGTTTAGAAAAGTTTTAAGTTGTTAGCCAATTTTGAGTTTTAGTTTAGATTGTGAGGTCTGGCTTCAGCCAACGGAGATCAGACACAGCAGAAAGGACAACCCCAAACGCACGAGGAATAAATGTGTGCGTTTTCCTGTGTTCACTGTAGTCTTGTGGCAAGATGGCCAGTGAGGGTACCCTTCCTGCAGTCCAGGAAGTAAAAATTGCGTTGCTGAAGGATCCTTTGTCTCAGTGCTGATTTTTCTTTGTGGCATGGAGCAACTATTTCAACACAGGGGCACATCAGACAGAAAACCTCAGGCATCAGAAGACCCAAACTTCACAACATAAGCTGACTGCTCAAGTGGCATGAAAGACCTTGTCAGCTCTGTCATGCTAATGTATGAGTTCCAATACCCAGAGAGTGCTTTACCAGTTCAAAAACACAAGAAAAGTGTGCTAAGCATCCCTGGCCATTAAACCTGAGTCAGGGGATCTTCGTTCCCATCCACTTCTTCCTACAGCAAAGCCCAGGAGCGCCATCGGCCTCCCCAGACTGTTTAAGATCAAAGAAGGTAACTGGCTCTACCCGAGATGGCCTGGCATTTTCCAAAGGAGGAAGTGGACTCACATGAACTGGTAGAAGCGTGGCCACCGGCAGGGCACACGGCCACACACGCAGCAGGGACACCGGAAGGGCACATGGCCACACATGCAGCAGGGACACGGGCAGGGCACACGGCCACACACGCAGGAGGGACACGGGCAGGGCACATGGCCACACACGCAACAGGGACAAGGGCAGGGCACACGGCCGCACACGCAGGAGGGACACAGGCAGGGCACACGGCCACACACGCAGCAGGGACACCGGAAGGGCGCACGGCCACACACGCAACAGGGACAAGGGCAGGGCACTTGGCCACACACGCAGGAGGGACACGGGCAGGGGACACGGCCGCACACGCAGCAGGGACACGGGCAGGGCCCACGGCCACACATGCAGGAGGGACACGGGCAGGGCCCACGGCCACACACGCAACAGGGACAAGGGCAGGGGACACGGCCGCACACGCAACAGGGACACGGGCAGGGGACACAGCCACACTCACAGCAGGGACACGGGCAGGGCACACGGCCACACACACAACAGGGACAAGGGCAGGGCCTACGGCCACACGCAACAGGGACAAGGGCAGGGCCCACGGTCACACATGCAGCAGGGACACGGGCAGGGCCCACGGCCACACACGCAGCAGGGACAAGGGCAGGGCACACGGCCGCACACGCAGCAGGGACACGGGCAGGGCCCACGGCCACACACGCAGCAGGGACAAGGGCAGGGCACACGACCGCACACGCAGCAGGGACACGGGCAGGGCCCACGGCCACACACGCAACAGGGACAAGGGCAGGGCACACGGTCACACACGCAGGAGGGATACAGGCAGGGGACACGGCCGACATGCAGCAGGGACACGGGCAGGGCCCACGGCCACACACGCAGCAGGGACAAGGGCAGGGCACACGGCCGCACACGCAGCAGGGACACGGGCAGGGGACACGGCCACACGCAGCAGGGACACGGGCAGGGCACACGGCCACACACGCAACAGGGACACGGGCAGAGCCCACGGCCACACACGCAACAGGGTCAAAGGCAGAGCCCACGGTCACACACGCAGGAGGGACACGGGCAGGGGACACGGCCGCACACGCAGCAGGGACACGGGCAGGGCACACGGTCACACACGAAGGACACGGGCAGGGTGCATCGCCGCACACGCAGGAGGGACACGGACAGGGGACACGGCCGCACACGCAGCAGGGACACGGGCAGGGGACACGGCCGCACACGCAGGAGGGACACGGACAGGGGACACGGCCGCACACGCAGGAGGGACACGGGCAGGGGACACGGCCGCACATGCAGCAGGGACACGGGCAGGGCACACGGCCGCACACGCAGGAGGGACACGGGCAGGGGACACGGCCGCACACGCAGCAGGGACACGGGCAGGGCACACGGCCGCACACGCAGCAGGGACACGGGCAGGGGACGCAGGCACGTCACACAGCCACACACACACGAGGGGGGCACGACCAGACACACCCACAAACAGCGCCGCACACCCCTTAGGGACACGACACACACCCCCGAACACGGACACGCACCCCACAAACAGAATGGGCCGCACCCACGGGCACAACCTTCCCCCGGGCAATCGCCCCCAAGAATCCCCCTACGCACCCCACGGAACGCGGGCGCCCAGACGCGCGGGAGCGCAGCCCGCCCTCCACACAGCTTTGTTCCCAGAACCCGGGAGCCCTTCCGCGCCCTCGGCCTCGGTCACGGGAAGCTCTCCACAGCTTGGGCTTCGGCGAGCCGACCCCTCGGGCTCCGGGCCTCAGCCGGGCGGCGGGGCAGCGAGGACAGCGGCGGCCCCAGGGGCCTCTGTGAGGTCTCCCTACCTTTCCCCGAACCCCACGCAGCTCGTGGACGCCCAGGGCCCACCCGTCCCTGCCACCCGGCCGCGCTCCCTGCCCCCCGCCGCCCTCCTCCCGCCTTCCGCGTTCCCCGCGTCCCCCGCGCCACACCTGGAGCCGGCGCGGCCGCCCTCGCTTTCCGGGCCCTGGAACATGTCGCCCGTCGCCACCCACAGCTCGCCGCGCGCGGTTCCCGCCTGCCCAGCGCAGGTACCAAGCCGCCCGCCAGCGCCCATTGGTCGCCAAGACGCCAATCTTTCCTTCGCAGCCTATCACGGCGCGGTCCCCGCCCCTCATGCCCACCCCCAACGAGTCAGACTTTGAACAGCCGGCACTGCGCGCACAGCGGATTGGGGAAAGGCGACGTCGCTCGAGGAGCTGGGAGCTCCCATTGGGCGGCGGGCTGGGCGGACCGCGGGGCGGCCGCGCCCTCGGGAGGAAACCCGGTCTGGTGGAGGGAGCGCGCCCACCACTGGGGCCGCACCTGCTCGCCCAAGCACGGTCCGCAGGTGCGTGGCCCTGAAGAACAGGCACAAAGCACAGTCCTTAGATCAACATTAGTATGTATTTAAGCACAATAAAAACATTTACAAGTTGAACTGGAAATTTAAACAGAAGTTTAACAGTTCTTGTTTATTATATTAAATAACCAAAACACCTTTTATTCCCAAAATTGGTAAAGAATAAATAATATAATTTACAATATGGTACAAAAAATAACCAGGAAAGGCAGGCATTCTGCTTTATACATACACTGTATATGCATATTTATAATCTATAAAACAAATTCACATCTGAAACGAGCAGAGGCCTCGCTATGGCTTAACTGAGAAGGGAGAGAAGGGGTGTGGGGCGTGGAAGGCAGGGCCAGGGGCTTGGCTCCCCACACCTCACCCACCCCAAGGATGCGCTGCTACTGTGACATCAGCAGAGCGCTGACAGCCGCAAAGGGTGTGCTGTGGGTTTCTTTCCTTGGTTTTAAATTACTCTTTCCTTGTTTTCTTAAGACAAAGTGCCATATTTCCTGACAAATGCATCTGCTAGAGCGCAAGGTCCTCCTCCCACATTCCGGTGTCTTATGCCCCCCAACTTTCTTTGCAGAAGAAGTTGGAATTCAATGCTGTGATCTAATTAAAGATGCTATCAAACTGGCCAGCGCGGTGGCTCGCGCCTGTAATCCCAGCACTCTGGGAGGCTGAGGTGGGCGGATCACAACGTCAGGAGATTGAGGCCATCCTGGCCAACATGTTGAAAGCCTGTCTCTACTAAAAATACAAAAAGTTAGCCTGGTGTGGTGGTGTACGCCTGTAGTCCTAGCTACTTGGGAGGCTGAGGCAGGAGAATCGCTTGAAGACAGGAGGCAGAGATCGCAGTGAACTGAGATAGCACCACTGCACTCCAGCCTATGACAGAGTGAGACTGTCTCAAAAAAAAGAAAAAAAAAAGATGCTATTAAACTAAAAAGGTCATTGCCTTTGATGCCCAGCACCTGGAGGTGGTGGGCAAAGCAAGGAGACCAACTGCAGAAACGCCGCCAAGACCCCACTCCTTGAACTGGCACCCTCCAGCTACAAGACACAGAAGGACGAAACAGCCAGGAAGCCATGAATTCGGCGTCCTTGGAGGCACACAATGCTCGCTCATCACTGCACATCCACAACAGAGTCGAGGCCAGAGGACTAACTTCCCTGCACCACAGACGCTCTGTCCCAATCTCCAGAAAAGGCGGATCAGCAAAGATCCCAGACAACATAAGAGTTTGGGAAAGCTTTTTCTAAGGAACTGATCTCATCTTAATTATAGCATGCTCAAATGCACAAAGGAAGCCACAGGCTCATGTTGAGATGATCGCCGCTTCCTTTGGAAAGGCAGAAGATACAGGAAGTGGAAGACTTCTCTGTTTGGATCTTTCAAAATTCCAGCCATTAACATTTGCCTATTTTTTGTACATCAGTATTCATTTAGGCGAGGAGAAAATGCATCCATTGTTTTTCTCCAACAAATGACATCACTTTCCCTTAACGTGGCAAGCAAATGTGTATCACCTGTCTAGTTACTAGAGAAGCAGAATCCCCTAACACCCTGTCAGCTTTCTTACAGGAGAGGAGTCAGTCTGTCCTCCTCCCTAACCCATCTATCTACCCACTGGGTGGCCATATGGCTGCAGTCATTGCTTGGTTCTACCCTGCAGAACCAAGTGGTAGATACTGTCTAAAGAGTCTACCAAGGCAGACCCTGACTTCAAAGCTTCACCCCACTTGGGAGTAACAGGCGCCCTGACAGGCAGTTCATGAACCCTGCTGTCCCTGGCACAGTGCATGCAGCTCAATGCTGTTAAGACTTGGCATCTCTGGTCTCGCCCACGGGAGTATGAAAAAGCTAGCAGTGGTCTAAACTCGGCTTGGTAGCCTAACCCTGACACAGCAAAGTCAGATGCCCAGAGGGAGATCTACTTGTCTTTCTCTGGCTCCATGAGATGCTAATTTTGGAAGCTGATCTATTAAGTACAAAACACAAGCTAGTTTAAAGATGCTGCAGCTCAAACACTACTGTCTCTCTCCCAATCAAGTGGCACCATGTTTTTTTTCCACCTCCAAGAGCTTTGGGACTGTTTGCTTAAGATCTCATGTCAAGGTCTGAATGAGGGAAGCCAGCTCAGGCAAGAACTCTAAGAAAAACTCGTGAGACAAAAGGAAGCTCTTGCCTGGAAGCCCACTGTCCTCTCCACATCCTCCCAATGGTCTACAGTGGCTGTGGTGGACTGGCGAGACTGCAGGATGGAGGGTGTCCACCTGCTTGTCCACACCCAAGGTATTTCCCCTCTTTTCACCTTCTCCATTGTGGAGGGGGAGAGAAACAGGGGAGGGGCCAGGGCTGACCTTACATGCCACATTTGTGAGGGGAGAGGAATGGTGGAGAGTCAAAGAGTAGGTCCAAGTGGGTCAGGAAAGCACAATCAATCCTGACTACTGTGGGGGATGAGGCAGGAAGGGAGAGATGGCGGCAGAGGCATAGCCTGCCCAACACCTCTGTAGCAGCTCCAAGCCATACTGGATGCGGCTGGACAGTGACTCATGTGCTTGGAACTCCTGAGGCTGAGACGGCAAAGGGGCCCTTGTTAGCTCCATCCTGGGAAAGACTGGATGTTGGGCAGTCTGCAGTAGGAAGGCTGGCCACCTCAGGGGGTGCAAGGAGGAAGACCACCATGAAGGCGTACATTTGGTGACGTCCGACCACATCCAGATGTCTGGGCCCTTGCGTGAGTGTCCCAAATGGAAAGGAGACTCAGCTATCTTAGGGCAAAGGTACGAAGGGATTAAACACACGTGTTAGGCATGCCCACACCCATGCCCACGAGACACTTTCCCTGCAAAGGTGGACTTGTCCTAAGTGCCAAATAGTCACGGATCGAGTTTCAGAACTTATCAGGAAAGTTTTTGCTGTAATCATATTAGTGCTTAGAGGTCACCCCAGTAGAGACAAATGACATCTCAGGTCACCTGGAAGCTTGCAAAGGGACACAGGAAGGAAACCAACTACCGTGGGGGCTTTGTTCTTCCTCTTCCATGTCTCCTAATCCTTAAAACACAAGAAAAACATTTTGAACCAGCTTAGCAGGGTCCCATGTAAAATCCACACGACCTGCATAGTACAGGACTCTTGCTGCCCCCACTTCCTGTTCAGAGAGATCAAACAAAACCTTTAGACAGGGGAGGCACCAGCCCAGGGCCCCAGGACTCCTCGGCAGCCTGCGATCAGCATCTGTGCGCTTGCTGCCTCAGGGTGCGACACCACGCGACACAAGCCCAGGCCACAACCAACTGTCCTGCCTGTTACATTCCACAGAGGGTACAGCCGAAGCATGGCACAGGTTTGGCAAAAATCAAGCAGCAGGAGCTGGGCCTCCCTGCAGAGTGGGAGATCACGGCTCCTAGCACGAGGCAACTATACCAAGGCACACACACTCCCTTGTCTCAGAAAGAACCACCACCTTTACATCCAACACAACAATCGAGGCAGAGCTTGGGCTGAAATGGGATCACTATGCAGACCCTAATGTGGGCCCGGGCGTGGTGAAGAACTGCTCCAGCACCACAGCCATTTCTAACGTCGGCCCTTCCCGAGAGCTCGTCCTGGTCTCCTGGGACGCCACTGCCTGCTGCTTGTGGGGAAGCAGCTCTGTGACCACATTCCTGCCTGTTGTACAGTCATGGGTGTGGAGATGCCTCTGTTCAGACCATCCTCTGGGGCTCCTGGGCTTGATCTGTTTTTCTCTAGCTGGAAGAGGGCTTCATCTGCCACCAGGACATGTGGTCACTGGGACAGGTCACTGACAGGGGGACCGCCTCCACCACCATCAAACAGAACTTCTCGGCGGCCAGGCTCAGCGATGGACAGCTCTTGGGCCAGGTCGTTGAACCGAGAAATATAATCGATGCTGTTTTCATTCATCATGCACACCAGCTGGGAATCCACAACCTGCAGGAAGAGGAGGCAGGAAGAAGTCACTGTGATCTGCTGGGCCTTCAGTGGAGGGCAGCTTCCTACACAGGACAAGAAGCTCCCACTGACTCCTGCTGCAGGAACCTAGCCGTGGATGGCAGCACAGGGCTCTCTGCAGAATCTCAGAATCACCTGTCGTCTGCCCACACACTCTAGGTAAGTGCTAGTAGACAGCCTACTGTGCAGGGCACATCTGATGGCTGGGATGACGGTGCCAGTTCCCTCCTGCCATGAGACCTAAGGGGAAAGACACCCAGCAGGCAGGCAGACAGTACGCAGCACACACAGGGACTGGGGGCAGCCTGTGGAGACAGAAGGGTGATGGGGAGAGTGTTCAGGGGAAGGAGGCCAGTGAGGGTGCTCCAAGGATTGGGACCTGAGCAGGAGGTAGGGTGAGAACCGAGGACATGTAGGAAGCACGTTCCCCTCAGTCCCAAGGACACATGGAGGGTACGTTCCTGTCAGAGACATGAGGACAGGTGGGGGGGCACAATCCCATCAAGAGTCCCAAGGACATGTGGTGGGGGCATGTTCCCATCAGTCCTGAGGACACGTGGGGAGCACGTTCCTTTTTAAAGAAGCAACAGGCACCTTCCCTCAAACAGGAAGAGGCTTTGACTCAGAAGCATGACCAAGAAGGTGGCCATGACACAGTGGGTGAGGCAGCACAGGGCTGAGGAGGGACGGGACATGGGACGGCCGCGGCACCAAGACTTAGTCTTGTGAGCAAATACGTGGAATGTGCTGTTTTCACTGTTTATTGTCTGTGTGCTGCTCCAGAGCAGAAGCCTCATGAGGACAGGGGCCTTTGTTTGCACACAGTAGGCCCTGCATAAATATTCCTTAATGAACTTCATGTTACTGTGAATGCAGTAAGTCTGGAAAATCCTCAGTAGAGCTATGGCATAAATGAAGTTTTATGCTTTTCTTAAGGGAAATGTCAGACAAATTAAAATTTGTTTTCAAAAGCAGAACAAAGAGTAATTCTCCTTCCCCTTCCCCTGTGTGTTCACCATCAACTTCCACCCCTTCCTTTTTATTTCAGATGAAGTCTCGCCCTATCGCCCAGGCTGGAGTGCAGTGGTGCAATCTTGGTTCACTGCAACCTTCCGCCTCCTGGGTTGAAGTGATTCTCTTATCTCAGCCTCCTGAATAGCTGGGATTACAGGCATGAATCACCATGGCTAGCTTTTGTATTTTTAGTAGAGATGGGGTTTCACCATGTTGGTCAGGCTAGTCTCGAACTTGTGACCTCGTGATCTGCTTGCCTCGGCCTCCCGAAATGCTGGGATTACAGGCGTGAGCTACTGCGCCTGGCCTAGCTCCCACCCCTTTCATCCCAGGGCCACCCAGCTCCACTCCCCATCCCCTTCATGCCAGCCCTATCACCAGACCCTTTCATCCACAAATGCCTCAGACTGTCCTTCCAGACAACAAGGACCTGCTGACACACACACTCACATTCTGAGTACAGCACTCTTGGGAAAATCCTTGTGCTAAACACCGACTTGCTCTTTCTGCAGGTCGATACGTGTTCGCATGACTCACGACAGACAGTGTTTCACAAATACTAACTGCACCCTTTCTCTGCTACTCATTCCCATGTGTCATATGTTGCCCAAGATTTTGTTAAAAGTGCAAATTCTTATTGGGGTGAGGGTGTCATTCTGCATTTCTGACTCCAAAGGGCTCCAGTCAGTGGGCTGTGACCTGTCCTTTCGACAGTGAGGTCCTGGCATGTTATCTCAGGACACGTAGGCAGGGCCCACCTCCACAGAGCCGGGACCTTAGGAACACGCACACAAGCATGGGAAGAGACAGAGACCGGCTTCTTGGAAAACATGAGTCCACGGTGTGCTCTGAATGATGATTCTGGGGCCAAACACATTTGAGAAAACCCACGCTATGCAAGATGGAGGTCTACTCTATTAATTGTGTCTATGCATTTGTTTGGCTAAAATTTCCAGTCATATCATGGCTTGGCTTGGAATTCTCCAAAGCCTTCCCAGGAGCTCATCACCTCAAGAGTCACGATTCATATTCGGATACCGAGAAGAGGAGGTGTCTGCGAGAAACAGGTGTTTTGAGCTTTTCTGGATCAAGGGTTTCCCTTAAGTATCTGCCTACAAAATCCTCAAGGAACACGGAGCAACACTGTGGGGACCAGATTCAGGGAATGCTGCTCCAGGACTTTTACATAGGCCAAGCCCATGTGAGTGGCCCCTGGAACTGGAGTCCCCTCCCTGTCTGTAGAGCCCTCACCCGGATCTCTCACGCACCTGCCTCTCTGCACCATGCATCACGGTGAAATGGGCCTGTCTTTACCCTGCAAGCCTCACCTGCCCATGGATGCCTGGCAAACCTTGTGGTGGATGCCTTGGGGGCTACAACCAGATGGCGTGGCCAAAAAAAGAGGGACAGTGCATCTGGTCAAAAGAGGAGAGTCACAAACCACATTTCGCCTCCACATCAAAATTCTGCTCCAATGACTCCTCCTATCACTACCCTGGGCGTAGGAGAAGCATGACAACAGCAGAGCCCATCCTGGCTCCCCTGCACCGCAGCTCAACGTGACCCAGGGGGACGCTGCTCAAAGGTCCTGCTGTTAGGATGGGAGTGTCAATGACACAACTGCTGTGACCACCCTTTACTTATCCACAACGGTGCCCGCACCACAGCACCTCACAGCTGGTGAAGGACACATGACATTGCAGCTCGGCTCTGGCTGCCTTCAGAGACCCGGCTCTGCACCCCAGACCAGGGCTCCCAGTTCAGAGGCCTGCAGAGCTCAGCTGTGACAGAGTCAGCCATTAAGCATGTGGAGACCGGAGCTGGCACAGCATCCCCAGATGTCTCCATCCTAGTAGTCAAGAGATCTGAGTGTGCACATGCTGTCTTCTGATCTTCCACTCTTGGCAAATAACTCTTACTAACCCACAGGTGTGCAGGAGGGTTGGTTGTTAAGGACAGGTGTGAGGTCAATGCACTCACCTCTGCGACATCAGCCAGGGACCTGGACACAAATGAGTCCCTTGAGTTTCCATCCAACAAGCTGGGGCCAAGCAAGGAGGTGCCACTGTTGGTCCCGATGGGAGTGGGCAACATCTTCCGGCTCTTCTCTGGGGAGATGAAGCTTGCTGCACAGAAAAGACCAGAGGAAAACACCCTGAACACTGCTTGGTCTGGACCAGTCCAGTGGAAGGGTCCTGAGGCTAGGCATAGCCAGGCCAAGCCCTGGCCCCAGCCCTAGTGCCAGCCCTGGCTGGCCACAATCCTTGTGTGAAGAGCTTCCAAGAGACTCAACATGCTGTGAAGAGCTCTTCTCATTTAACAGGCCTTGGTACACACAGATGTTTTCCGCGAGTCCCACAGCCTCCCACTCTCTCACTGCCATCCCCTACCCCCATATTTTCTTTGGTGACTAGTCTCATGCAGACTGTTTTCAACTTGTCTTTAATATTTTTTAAGGCAGGGTCTTACTCTGTTGCCCAGGCTGCATTGCACTGCATTGGTAATCATGGTTCACTGCAGCCTGGAATTCCTAGTCTCAAGCAGTCCCCCTACCTCAGCCTCCCGAAGTGCTGGGACTACAAGCATGCACCACCACACCTGGCTAGTTTAAAAATTTTCTGCAGGGGGCCGGGCACGGTGGCTCACGCCTGTAATCCCAGCACTTTGGGAGGCCGAGGCGGGTGGATCACGAGGTCAAGAGATCGAGACCATCCTGGTCAACAAGGGGAAACCCCGTCTCTACTAAAAATACAAAAATTAGCTGGGCATGGTGATGCATGCCTGTAGTCCCAGCTCCTCGGGAGGCTGAGGCAGGAGAACTGCTTGAACCCAGGAGGCGGAGGCTGCGGTGAGCCAAGATCGCACCATTGCACTCCAGCCTGGGTAACAAGAGCAAAACTCCATCTCAAAAAAAAAAAAAAAATTAAATAAAATAAAATTTTCTGTAGAGACAAAGTCCCTCTATGTTGCCCAGGCTGGTCTCAAACTCCTGGTCTCAAGCAATCCTCCTACCCTGGCCTCCCCAAAGTGGTAGGATTATAGGCATGAGTCACCACGCCTGGCCTGTTTCCAATTTTTCACAATTTACATGTGACTGTGGACAAAACTGTGCTGCTACATGTGACAAAAGAAAACGCTTGCAGGGTGCTGGCTGCCAAAGCACCTCCCAGGCCCAGGGCACCCAACAGTTCAGGGCTGTCAGGCATGGTGCCCACTGTTTAGGCTGCCCAGCTCCAAGCCCTGGCCACTCTGTAAAGCCATGGGCGGGCAGACCCCAGTCATGCTAATGGGAGCTCTCCCCATGGAGGCAACAGCAGCAGGGTGTATCTTTCCCTGATACACCCCTTCCTGCCACGACTGATACCCAGTGGGCAAACGGGCCATGGGGGAAGAGGATGGACACATCCTATGAACTCTCCAATTTGTATTCAAGAATGTGCCGGGTGGCAGCTGGACCATCCACTTCCAAACACCTTACTGACCACAGAAGGAGAGGAGCCAAGCAAGGGCCAAGACACCAGTTTCCTTTTCTCCCCTTGAGAGGGCCCGAGTCGGGAGGGGCCAGGCTAGCTGGACAGACCAGGAAGGCACACAGAACCCAGCATCTGGGGTCACAGGAATGTTCTAGGTCTCCACCGGATTGTGGGTTACCTGGCTGTATATGCTTGCCAAAGCTTGATGAACTGTACACTAAAAATGTGTACATTTTCCCACATGCAAATTATACACAAAAATATTAACTCAGAAAAACAAACACTTGAGAAGCAAACATGCCAACCGTCTCAGTGGGAGTCTGGCTGCAGTAGAATGAGAATCCAGTGTCCTGCAGACCCCGGCCCCTGCTGGTCTGGGAAGGGAAACAGGAGCCCTTTACATACACTCACCAAACAGGCTGCTGAGCGAGGAGTCAGTGGAGTCACTCGGGTACCACTGGGGGTCGTGGGTGGGAGAGGCGATCCAGTTTGGCTGGGGGCTGCTGGATGGGGAGGGAAGGATCTTGGAACTGTCACTGCCATTCAGTTTTGCTGGAGAAAGAGGAACCCCTTCACCTGCCAACCAAGACCCCAGATCAGAAACGCCTTGTTGTGGGGTGGTGAACAGCACCTCACTTGCCCAGCCCACCATGGAGAAGACAGCAGGAATGCAGGGCTCTGCCCTGCTGAATCAGATGGATGGCATGGCTCTGCAGGTAAGGGGCATAGCACCTGCAGGACAGCTCCGTGGGGCGGGAGGGCGTGGTGCACAGTGAAGGTAATGGTAGTGGCGACCATGGATTCCACGAGTCATCTCACAGCACCCACAGCAGCCCTGTGAGCTGTACCTTATTCCCAATTTACTGCTCAGGAAAGGGAGGTTCAACAGGTTGGTGACCTGTCCAAGGCTACATGCTAACACACTGTGAACTCATGTCTCTCTGAATCCACAGCCTGAGTCACACTAGTGACCAACAAACCACTGCTCCCAGGAGCTTCGTTCCAGACAGCAGGTGAGACCAAAGCCCACAGGGCCCAGCCCAACTACTTTGAAAGCTCTGCAAGACCTGCGGGCCACCTGCTCAGGTTCAAGATCAACTGTAAAAACACTTTCCGATCCCCAGGCTGAAGAGCACCTTGGGGGACCATCCCACTGTCTCCCCTGAGGGTGAGGAGCAAGCCTAGCAGGCCATCAGCAGCCTCAGGTCCCAGGTACCTTATCCACCTGCAATGTCCCTTCTGTAGGACAATTCGTAAAAATCACAGAACTGGAATATTTTCAGCATGTGTGCCAAGTATTCGGGTGGGAGATCAACGCCTCCTGACAGGAAGGGCTGTGGGTGCGCCCTGCCCTTACCGTACTGGCCGGAACTGATGGCAATCTCGATGATGGAGTCGCTTATGTGTGTGGCGGACTCGCCCTGGGACAGCGCATCCTCAGGAGGGCCAGGCAGGGAGATGTCAAGTAGAGCAGAGACATCTGGTGGAGACAGCCGGGTGCTGGAGCTCTCTGACGAGGACAGTGGTGTGGAGAGGCCATTTTGGAGAGGAGTCTTGGGCAGCTCAGATAAGGAGAGAACAGAAGAGCCCTGCTGGGAGACAGGTATTTTTTAGACACAACCAGTCTATCAGAACTCACGACAAGGGAGGAAACATCAGGTGGACAAATCAACAGGGTGATGAGTGCTGCAGTCACCTCATCCTTCCAACTCAGGAATACACTCGGGGAATTTATTTCTCCTAAAACCGCTCAATATGGCAGACTCAGAAGGCCAGGCAGCAGCGGCCTGGACCTGCTCTGACACCGCCAGAAAGAGGGTGGGTGCTGGAGAGTTACTAGCTGACAGCCTCCTCCTCCTCCCAGAAAGCTGAGTTTTTTCATAGCTTGTTCTGAATCAGCCCACTTGGGAGAGGGGAGGAGGGAAGTCTGAGGTAGAGGACAGCTGTATTCACATTTATCTACCCTGGGCAGCTGGCATAGCAGATGGAAGAACAGCAAAGCCACTGAGCAGTCCCAGAGAGAAGCCAGGCCACTGCAAGACTACAGGTGGCAGCTCAGGGCACTGGAGGGAGTCCTGGGGCAGCTGCTTTGCTCGGCAGCACACAAGCGCATTCTACCTGGAAACTGTCTGTCACTGGCTCCTGCTCAGGTCTCGAAGGGATGCTGACGAACGGGTCCGAGCCCTGCAGGAACAGCACGCCCATGAGCAGCTGTGAGGTGCACCGGACGCCGCCCACACCCTCGCCTGCGACAGAGTTCCAAAAAGAGGTGTTCCATCCCCACGGCCTCTTAACAGTGGAGGGACAATAAACGGACAGGGGTCTAAGGTCAAAAATGCTAAAAGGCCACTTTCAGGGCATAGGCCCTGTACTTGAAATTTTTTTGTGGCTTCAAAGAGTGAACTAAAGTTCCTCTGTCAGGAAGTCAACTTTATAGAAGGCAGAGCTGGGCTCCCTGAAGTCTTAAGAGTATCAGCCCACCCCACCCTCCTTGGAGTGGCTCTGAAGTGGCCATGGGAGAAACCCGGTGCTTGGAGCCTCGGACAGGAGGAACGGTCAAGGCCATGCAGGGGGTTCTTTTCCCAGATGAAAAACATGCTCGGTGATGTCCGAGCACGGCGCTATGGGCTCGCTGCTGCCAACTTGGTTACGGTCACTCTCAGATGGAGCTAGGTTTCCACATCATCTTAGCTCTGGGTTCTCCAATGCCACATGGCAAGCCTGTCCCCACCTTCCGTCAGTGGCTCTGGATGCCTCTCCTGCTCTGTACTACACAGAGCTTGCTCACGCCATGGCAGCCCTGGTCTGGTGAGTCTCCTCCAAAGGCAGAGCTGGAGTCCAGTGTGATCTCAGCCACATGGCTTTGGTGTCCATACCAGAAGTTTGTGGTGATGCTGAAAAGCCCTTCTAAACATACTCACCCCCATGGCGGGGAGGGCGTCTCCATTCTGGTGAGCTCCAGTGGAGTCCTGCCCAGAGACGGCACCTGTCACCTCGTCTGAAGACAGTGGAGAGATACCAGACAAGCCCTCAGTGTCCAAGGCAGGGAGGGGGTTCCCAGGGAGGATGCCAGCACTCGTAGCTGCTAAGTCGATAGTACCTGGCAACAGAAAGGACACTGCACATCTCTGCTCTACTGACAACCCATGGTATGACCCAAGAGGGCTCGGGGAACAGCTTCTCCCTCACACCTCATGTCAATGCTTGAGCCAAGGGCTTGGATGTTCTCGGTGAAGGGTAATGAGACATTATGATTTGGAGAAGAAAACATTAAAAAAACCTGGTGACAAAAACATCCCTCAGAGGCTCACTCAGTGGCTGTGGCCATGCAGGTACAGACTTACTGGCCAGGTGACTCGTGGCCTGGGGTGGAAGGACCTTGGGCACGATCGGCCGAGACAGAGCTGCTTTGGTCAGAGAAGACTGGATGGGCCGGAACGAACCTCTCCCTGCGAGGGCGAGGGCAAAAGCAGACATGTCGAGCCCGCCCACCGTGCCCTCACAGCAGGACAGGGCCGCAGGGGGCTTCCTTTACAGCCACTGTTGGGAGTGTGGAAACTGAGCCAAGCTGGAAGCCAGCGAACATTCCAAATGCTAATGTGAGGAGTCAGCAGTCACATAGGCCCCCAACGTTACATAAGCTCTGGAACCCACCACTGTGCCTCCCAGGAGCTACTGGAAGGCTGCAATCACCACTGTCATCCTGCAGAAATGGCTCTTTAAGGGTGACAAGCCCCCGAACTGAGGAACAGGCCCCGGGGCAGTCAGAGTATCAGTTTCTGGACTAAGATTCTGATACTGCAATTTGGTTTCATCCTGCCAGGCTTTCCACAGTTGAAAATGGAAAAGTAGGCAGGAGAAAAAGCAATCGACAGCTATATATAATAAGGGTCTTGCATGTGTCAGTGAGAGATGTGGAAGTCAAGGTAAGTAGAAAAGGTAAGTCACAGAGTACATGTTTCACTAGAAGCCTCTCCCTGTGTAAGATCTACTGCCAGGAGCCAAGGCCCCCACTAAACGTACAGACTGATGGAAGCATAATCCACACACCCCAAGAACACATCCATTCCATAAAACAGCTGGCAAGATGTTACATACAGAGAGCACACAAGAGATGCTCCAGTAACTCAAAACAAGCCAACCGCCTCACACAGGGCCGTCAGAGGCTACAGACGAAGGGGCACCCTCTGGACTAACTGCCTCACCCACCACGGCAGTCCGTGGCCCAGCACATAGGGCACATTAGGTATTTTTCAGTAGAAAGAACAAAGGAATGCCTGAAAATAAGCCATGGAAATAAGCACCCATTGTTTCCAAAGCCAAGGCCCTCAGGTGAGGAGGAGGGAAAAACTACCCCGGAAAAGCTACCCCAGAAAAGCTCTGGGTCCTTACCAGTTATGGAAGAGTTAGACAGGATGGAGAAGGAACAAACATTGTGGGACTGGTTTTCTGACGGTCTAGGGAGCAGCGTTCTCTGTGGTAGAAAAACGGCAAACAATCAAGGTGATGAAACTCCTATGACAAAAGATCACTCCAGAACCAGGTTACATAGGAATGTCCCAAGGAAGAGGGTGCCTAGCATACCCAGGTGGGGCTCTTTTTCTAGAGCCAGTGACACAGGGTGTCTCAGACAGGTCCTGTGCACTCCCAGCCCCAGTTAGGTCCTCTATGAAACAAACCCAGGTAATCAAACCTTTCCCAGGGAAAACTGGAGGAATGTCAGAGTGATCCACTTTTGTTTTTTTTGATGGAGTCTCATTCTGTCCCCTAGGCTAGAGTACAGTGGCACGACGTACTGAAAACGTCTGCCTCCCGGGTTCAAGCAATTCTCCTGCTTCAGCTTCCCAAGTGGCTGGGATTACAGGCACTCAGCACATGCCCAGCTAATTTTTGTATTTTTGGTAGAGATGAGGTTTCACCATCTTGGTCAGGCTCAACTCTGGCCCTCAGGTGATCCACCTGCGTCAACCTCCCAAAGTGCTGGGATTTACAGGTGTGAACCACCGCACCCGGCCTGATCCACTTTCAATTCAAACTTTCTTTCAGATTTGGTTAGAATGCAACGAGTCATATAAACCTGTATATAATCATTGGATATGGACTTCTCTTTTTTTTTTTTTTGGATATGGACTTTTATGAGTGACACCTCCCATACTGGGCTTCCTCACACCGGGTGAAGAAAATAAAATCACTGCCTGTAACACACAGGCACCAAAGGGCATGAGGCACCCCTTCACAGGGCTTCTGTGAGGAAATAATGAGGCTGAATGTGCTACGGCAGGTTTGCGTGACAAGGACTACCTTGGAGAAACTGCGTTCATCACTGAAACTGTTAGTAATCAAGATAAAACATGAACAAAAGTGTCGGTGAACCTCCAAGTGTCTGAGGCGCTCTGGCCTCTGGGGGGTGCCGCTGCAGTTCTTGACCTTTTGAGATGCCCCAGGACAATGGCGCTGGAGAAACTAGAGGGGAGGTGCCACTAGAGACAGAGGCAGGCTTTGGCACACAAGCTTTCACCCAAGGCTACGTACTTTATAGCACAGATTAGCACACTTTTTCTGTAAAGGGGCAGGCAGGAAGTATTTTAGGTTTTGGGGTCCGTACTTGACCCTGCCCATGTGGAAAACAGTAGATAGTACAGAAATGAATAATCATGGCTGTGTACCAGTAAAACTTTATTTATAAAAATATTAAGGGGAGGGCCAGGCGCAGTGGCTCATGCCTGTAACCCCAGCACTTTGGGAGGCCGAAGTGGGTGGATCATCTGAGGTCAGGAGTTCGAGACCAGCCTGACCTAACCCACATGTTGAAACCCCGTCTCTATTAAAAAAAAAAACAAATATTAGCCAGGTGTGGTGGCGCATTCCTGTAATCCCAGCTACTCAGGAGGTTGAAGCAGGAGAATTGCCTGAACCCGGGAGGTGGAGGTTATATTGAGCCAAGATCACACCACTGTACTCCATCCTGGGGGACAAGAGTGAGACTTCATCTCAAAAAACCAAAAATGTTAAGTGGAAAAGACCACATACTGTATGATCCTATTTATAGGAAATGCCCAGAATAGACAAATCCATAGAGACAAAAAGTGGATTCGTCGTGGCCAAAGGCTGGAGGTTCTGAGAAGACAATGTGAGTTCAAAGGTGCAGTGTTTCCTTTCTAGATGAGAACATTCTGGGATTAGACCCTGGTGATGGTTGTACAACCCTGTAACCACTGAGTCATATGCTTTAAATGGGCAAACATTATATGTGAACTGTCTATCTATAAAGCTGTTTTAAATTAAACAAAACAACAGTCAGGCTGTAACTGGCCCCGGGGCCACAGCAACTTTCTTCCTAAGACCTTTCACGAATCTCTCATTTGTAAATTCACTAATCTCAAGGGAGAAAGAGATTTCGAAGAGTCTAGACTACAAAAAGAAACCTGTGCATTAATCCAAAATAACACACATCCATAAATTTCTAAGGCCATAATTATCTCAGACTTCCCACCTCACTTTCTGTACTATTTAATTATTATATTTTTTGAGACAGAGTCTCGCTCTGTCGCCCAGGCTGGAGTGCAGTGGCACGATCTCAGTTCACTGTATACTCCGCCTCCAGAGTTCAAAAAATTCTCTGCCTCAGCCTCTCCGGTAGCTGATAACAGACACCTGCCACCACATCCAGTTAATTTTTGTACTTTTAGTAGAGATGTGGTTTCACCACCTTGGCCAGGCTGGTCTTGAACTCCAGACCTTGTGATCCACCCACCTCGGCCTCCCAAAGTGTTGAGATTATAGGTGTAAGCTACTGCACCTAGCCTCACTTTCTGTACTTTTATGCCTCAAAATGCCAAGGTCTTCTTCTGAGAGGTCTCTGAGTCCCTGGATGTCCCTCAGGCATACAGCATCCTCGGGTCCTCCCGAGGAGCTCATGAGAAGCCTGGGCTCTAGCCGACATACATGACTGCCAACTGTTCCCACTGACTCAATGTTAAAAAATAGGTGTTCTTTTTTTTTTTTTTGAGACGGAGTTTCGCTCTTGTTACCCAGGCTGGAGTGTAATGGCGCGATCTCGGCTCACCGCAACCTCCGCCTCCTGGGTTCAGGCAATTCTCCTGTCTCAGCCTCCTGAGTAGCTGGGATTACAGGCACGTGCCACCATGCCCAGCTAATTTTTTGTATTTTTAGTAGAGACGGGGTTTCACCAGGTTGACCAGGATGGTCTCGATCTCTCGACCTCGTGATCCACCCACCTCAGCCTCCCAAAGTGCTGGGATTACAGGCTTGAGCCACCGCGCCCGGCTTTTTTTTTTTTTTTTGAGACGGAGTTTTGCTCTTGCTACCCAGGCTGGAATGCAGTGGCGCGGTCTTGGCTCACTGCAACCTCCGCCTCCTGGGTTCAGGCAATTCTCCTGTCTCAGCCTCCTGAGTAGCTGGGACTACAGGCACACGCCACCATGCCCAGCTAATGTTCTGTATTTTTAGTAGAGACGGGGTTTCACCATGTAGACCAGATGGTCTTCATCTCTTGACCTCGTGATCCACCTGCCTTGGCCTCCCAAAGTGCTGGGATTACAGGTGTGAGCCACTGCGCCCGGCCTTAAAAATAGGTGTTCTTATACTCCATAAATACATCCCAGCCGGGCACATTGGCTCACACCTGTAATCCCAGCACTTTGGGAGGCTGAGGTGGGCAGATCACCTGAGGTCGGGAGTTGAGACCAGCCAGACCAACATGGAGAAACCCCGTCTCTACTAAAAATATAAAAATTAGCCAAGTATAGGGGCACACATGCCTGTAATCCCAGCTGCTTGGGAGGCTGAGGCAGGAGAATTGCTTGCACCTGGAAGGCAGAGGTTGCAGTAAGCCAAGATTGTGCCATTGTACTCCACCCTGGGCAACAAGAAAAAAACTCCATCTCAAAAAAAAAAAAAAAAAAAAAAATCCCAATCTGGGACATTCTTTGGACTTGAATCCCTGTAACTGTCTTTTCTGTAAGTGTTTTTCTACATTGTTGAAAGATTACCTTTACTTCTGGGTACCATTAAGTTCATTATTATTACTCGTATTTACCCTACTCACAAGAGGGAAGGAAGGGGCAGCGATTTCCCCCCATTTGACACGATGAAAACCTGACAGAGGAAGAAACCCCATGTCCCTGTTGGCCCAAGCATGAGGCAGCACATTCAGACTTGACGAGAACCTGACCTGGACCACCAGTGGCTTCCGAAGGTGCCGGTTCCGCAGCTTCCGGGGCTTTGGCAGGAAGAAATCCGACTGCATCTGTAAGGGAGCAGCGCACGGCACCTGAAGTTATGCTCTCCACACCACAGGGAAACCTGCACGGGACGGCCTGGCCCCACACACTCACGCTGATGGAGTTGAGATGCTGACGGAAAGTCAGCTCTGCGTCTTTACTGGGAGAGAAGAGCTTCCCGTGTCGGCTGTTGGGTGGCAAGGTTGTTGGGACAGCAAAAAGGCCACCATCTGAGTCACTGCTTCCTGTGTTGGCGGGACCAGCCACCAAGAGGGGTCTTGGAGGGTTTCTCAAACCTGGTAGAGGAGAGGAAAGAATCACTGTGACGGCATTCACCTAGCAACAGGTCCAGGGTCAATGGAATTCTGTTGGGAAGAAAGAAAGACGCTCTCTTGGCAACCTGTTTGGTTGTCTTGAAAGGAGATACCTCTATCTCAATCTCAGTCCCATATAAAGAATTATTCTCATTTTTTTTTTGAGATGGAGTCTTTGTCACCCAGGCTGGAGTGCAGTGGTGTGATCTCAGCTCACTGCAACCTCTGCCTCCCGGGTTCAAGCGATTCTCCTGCCTCAGCCTCCTGAGTAGCTGGGATTACAGGCACTTGCCACCACGCCTGGCTAATTTTTATATTTTTAGTAGAGACAGGGTTTCCCCATGTTGGCCAGGCTGGTCTCCAACTCCTGACTTCAGGTGATCCACCCACCATGGCCTCCCATGCACCCAGCCTAAAACTCACCAATTTCACACTTAAAAATTCACCATTCTAACCATGATAATCTGCTTTATTATAAAAATACTATGGGTTGAAAGCAAGTGAAACTGATGCCTCGGGAAACTGGACATGCTTGTCTTGGGGTTTTATGTACCAGAAACACAATTTATGATCCCTGAATTTTAATTATTTCCAGTACACAGCTGGGATAGCAGTACACTGTAGATTAGCAGGTTGCTCCACCGTACTTTCCAGGACTTGGGTTAACCTAGTGGCACCTCCCCTAACTGAAGGATTCTCTATTCTGATGTTTTACATGGGAAGAAAAATAGAAAAAAACAACCTTCACTTGGGTTTTGAACCACCAACTCAGCACATTAGGGAGGCTTTTGCTGGTCCCATGGAACAGACCCCAAAGTGACCAGACTGGCAAAGGCTGGCTTCTTGCCAACTTCTATACTCCAGAACCCCAAAGTCCTTGTGGCAGGCCCTGGTATCGCCCTCCCCAGGAGGAGGCAGTAATTTCTGCACCTTCACCCTGTCAGCTGGATCGTGGTGATCTGGACAGTGGGGCCAGGTCTCAGGTACACCTGTGCCCTCAGCTTCGGCACGGCCCCTGAAGCCCAGAATGACGCCCAGAAGGTAGACAAGGCACAGGGAGTGTGGCTGCCACAGCCTCACCTGACGGGCATGGTGCAGAGCTAGGCGGGAAGGTCTTGCTGCTGCGGAGGGTGGCCTGGTTCCGAGGGCAGCGGGGGCTTCGAGAGCTGACGGTCACCACCTTCCCTGGGGGCGTTGCGGACTGCTCCTCCTGGGAGGGCCTCACTGTAGAGACAGTGTTTGCTTCCAGAGCCTGGGACAGAAATGGGCCAAACAACGTCCAAACTTGGCACAAGAGAAACAGCTCCGAAATGTGTGCCCTGGAGAAGGCACAAGAACTTCATCAAGCCCAGAGAGCACAGTGTCATGATGGCAAAGGCTGGGGCCAGAGATGCCCAAACACCGTGTCCCTAGGGCCACTCGGCAGCTTGCCAGTTTTAAAAGTCACTGGTCAGGTAAGTCATGAAAACCACTCACTTCCTCACAAGTACCTTTCCACATGCTATGGCAGAGATGGGACGGAGGGGACCAGCTGGAAGTGCCAGCATGGACTGCAGAAAGAGATGCTGGATAGCAAGTGACAAGTGTCAAGAGCTCAAAGCCATATTAAAGAGTGTAAGACTGCAGTAGGCTGTCTGCTTGTGAGTCAGAGGACGGAATACAGGTAGGCTTTCTAGAAACAAACACAAGCACAGCTGAAGAATACTCTGCAGCGACGAAGCCCAACCCCGGAGGTACGCATGCCCATGCCACAGCCCACAGTGCCACTGCCAAGTTCTGGGGTCCCCACCTGGCTCACCACAGAGATGCCACCACCCTGGGAAGACTTGGCCAGCATCCCAGCCTCTTGGCTCTCCTCACCCTCCTGAACACCCCACACATCCCATCTGGGAAACCTCCCTGTGGACTAAGAAGCCCTCTGCCCCATGCTCTCAGCACAGCTCTGCCCGTCTGCTTACTCAGAACCTTCAACCCCTAGTCCCCACAGCCCAGGCTTTCTCTGGGACCCTCCCACCTCATGACCCTTCCTATGCTGTCACTTCAACCTTTGACAGTGGCTCAGCAGTCCTTGGCATCTCTTGATCTCTGGGGCTCGGGCCTTTAGGGGTGTTTGCTTGTCACACCTCTACCAGGCAAGCGACAGCACAGGGGCAGGGGACCCCACACCTGAGGTGCATCAGGTACCTGTCTGTCCAGTCTGTCAGGGCCACCCCAGGTCAGCCTTTCTAACTGGCTCCCCAGGGGGATGGGGATGCCCTTCTGTGTGGGATTCCTACCTACTCTGTGTCCCAGGACTGATCCCTGCACTCTCAGGAGCCTGCCCTGGCCCCTTCCTTGGGACACCTGAACGCAGGCACCACATCTCTCCATAGCCCTTCCCGTAAGACCACCAAAAGCCAAACCTGAAGAGCTGTCTTTCTGGTCACCGCCTGCTCACCCTAGCATCCTCTCCACACTACCCCGTGCCACTTTCACCCTCAGGCCTGGCCTGAGGCACCTGAGTCAGGCTCAGTCACCACCAACCCTGCAAAAAACATTCCCTGTAACCAGGCCCTGTGATGCTGCCCAGGCAAATCTGCCCTTTCCTGCCACCTGCTGATGGACAAGTCTCTGGGGCAAGCCGCGCAGGGGCTTGGGGCGGGGCCAAAAAACCAGCGGAAGACGCAGTGGATGCAAGCAGAAGCAAGCACCACTCAGAAGCCATGAGGCAGCCTGCGTGGAGCAGGAGCAGCGGGTGGGTGGGGGCTCATGAGTGCCCAAATCCCAAGTCCCCCACCAGCACAGGGACGTGTGAGCCTCACACACATTCCAACTGTGAAACAGCGCCCAGGGGCCCACAATGACCTGCAGCTCCTGCCCCAGCCCGTCCTTCTAGCCCCTCACTCATGTCCAGCAGTTCGCCAGTGTCCAAACATGCCGTTTCAGGATGGTCTGCCATGAGACCTTGCTCTCTTGCACCCAGAAATCCTATCAGACTTGGGGTCGTAGGGTAGGATAACTCCCAGCAGCAGCCCCTTCTGCACTCCACTTGTCAGCTCCACCAACTGGCCTCCCTGTGGTAGGGGACCCTTTCCTAGACTCAGGGCCCACCAACATGCTGCAGGGACCTTCCTGTCTGGTCCCCAGCTCCACTCCTCTGCCACAGCACCACATCCCTGCTCTCCTCTGGCCTCGCCACACACCATCTGCACAGCAGCTAGGATGGTCATTCTAGAGCAAGAATTACATCCGTCGTTCCCTCTGTGGAAACCTGTAACAGTGATTAGATAAGAAAGAAGGCTAGCTCAGCTCCAGGCCTCACTCTGTGACCCTCGGTCCTGTGCACGTTGTCCCCTCCGTTGCACACTTGGTATTGGCAGACTCGCAGGAGCACGAGGGCTCATGAGGTACTGCCTGCCAGCTGTCCGTCTTCTTCCACGCGCCACACAGAGGAGAACACCCAGGCCACACATCATTGCACTTCTGGCGCCATGCAGGGGAGTGGGGACCCCCATCAAGTGCCCTAAGATCCCTACTTGAGGGAGAGGAACATGATCTGTGGAGAGCCTGTTTCCTGGATCATTTAGGTCCCTGCCTCTCCTCCTTCCTTGAGATCCTGTGGGCTCCCTGCAACAGGACCCTCTCTCTCTAGTCTGGACCCCACCTGTGCTGGCCCTAGCTGCCCAGCTGGGAGTCCTCCAAGACTGGGCCTGGCTTCCCTTGGGCCACCAGAGGGGCTGGGCCCTGACCCACTCACCAGCTTGGGGTTGACCTCGGTGGAAATGAGCTTGAGGAGGCAGCTGAGGAGGCGCTGCTTGTGAAGGGTGGTGGCTGGGGAGCCGGGGCGGGGGTCCTGGCGGCCGGGCCCCAGCCAGTCGTACTCCAGCTGCAGCTTGCTGGGCTTTCCCATCATGAGGTAGACTTCGGCCAGCGTGAGGCTTTCGGAGGTCTGCAGGTTCCAGCCCTCCTCACGGAGCTGCTGTGCCAGCCGGCTGGCAGGGACCTCCTTTGGGGGTCTGGCGGCATGCTGTCCCTGAGGCAGCGCAGGCTCAGCAGGGCTCCCCTTTTCCTGGACCTCCTCTGCAGGTGGATCTGCTGAGTCTTTAGTGCAAACATCCGGCAAGAGCCCAGGGCTGGGCCTCGGGGCCGGGCCAGCAAGGGCAAGGTCAACAGGCTCCTTGCTGACAGGAGCCAGCACCTCTGGGGAGGCTGCCCGGCCTGGAGGGGGCTGCTCACTCCCAGGCCGCATGTCTACACAGCGGCACTGCTCGGGGACAATGAGGTCCTGGCAGGATTTCAGGTAGCGGGGCAAGGGGTCTAGGAGCGAGAGCTCGTCCTCCAGGTCTGGAAGCTGACCACAGGCACACGGCAAGGCCCCTGGCTCCCGGATGGGGCTGTCCCTGCCTTCTGTAGGGGTCTTCTCAGGACATGGCCCAGTGTCCTGGTGCCTAGGGGGAGGCCTGTCGGGAGCGTCCGGGCTACTCAAGCTTAGGATGGCCCCTTCCCCAGGGGCGCTTTCGGGGGAACTCTCTCCAGAGCTCTGTGAGGCGTCAGCCGCAGGAGGGGGCCGCCCCGCACCCTTGCCCTCAGCTCCGCCCCGAGGGCATTTCACCTGGCCCCGGGCTGTGCCCTGCCCACTCTGGATGCCCAGGATCTGGGCTGGGGGCAGTACGTGGGCATCCTTGGCACTCTGCTTGCACCGGCCGCCCTCCTGCCAGTGCACCGTGCAGAAGGCCTTGGAGTGTACCACACGGGCCACACCTGGCAGGGGTGTCAGTGTGCAGTTCTCGCCTGGGAACAAGTGCAGAGTCACCTTCTCCTGCATCGGTGGGGAGCAGGAGTCCTGCAGCTGCCGCTCCTCGAGTGTCTTCCGCTGAGTGCCCGTCAAGGAAGGCCCACACTGACTGGCACTGAGGACAGGATGCTCACCTGGCACACTGCTACAGACATGAGCCATGCTCCCCACTGGCATCCCCCAGGGTTTGGATCATGCCCCGACCCAAGGCTTTCCTCATACCACTACCAAACAATGCTGATCTGGGAACTTAGCACCTGCAGGAAATTCATACCTGACACACACCTCACCTGCGTGGGGAACAGGCAGGGCTGGGAGTCAACCATGGATATGAAGAAGGCTGGGCTGACCCTTGGTCGTTTGGCTCAACCTGCTGGTAGGAATGCTTTGGCCACACCCCACAGGCCAGACACAGGCCACTGACGTCATGGAGGGCTGGCTGTGACTGAGTTCTAGCTCTGCAAGGCCATGGAGGGGGCTCTACACCCAGGGAACGAGGGGTTCCAGGTTATGGTTCCAGATGTTCACCATGTAAGAGCACAGCTGCTCTGCCCATGGGAACCACGACAATGACGGGTACTGGGAGGCACGGTCTATCGCCTGGCAGCAGAGGCTGTTTGGCCTGGAGGGACTGCTGTAGTTGGAAAAGGATACAACTCGCACCTCATGGAGCGCCCACTTCTGCTTCAAGAACTCAATGAGGCTGGAGACCTTTCGATGTAGCTCCACGATCATCCTAATGAGATGAAAGAAGTGAGGCTCATATAACAGGGAATGAACCTTCTCAAGAGCCCTGAGGCTGCCTACAGCAAGATGGCGCCAAAAGAGACAAGGGACCTCCAGAGGGGCACTTGAGAGCCGGCACCCGCAGGGCCCTTGGCTCCTGTGGCTAAAAACCAGCTTTTCCAGCTGCAACTGCCAATGTTTCACATGGAGCTGATGGAAGTAACACAGAGATCCTGAGCATTGTCTGCTAGCACAAGGTCTCCGCCAGGGTGCGGGCACTGGCACACAGCCTCTGCCTAGTCTACAAGCTGCTTCTGGCTTCAAGAAGGATGGGCCTGGACAGTGTTAATAAATTCTAAGGGAAAAAATACACAAACAGAAGGAATGAAGCGCTGACACATACTACAACACGGCCAACCTCGAAAGTGTCATGCCCAGTGAAAGACATCAGGCCCAGAGGTCTCTAGGTGTGATTCCATTTCTGTGAAACCTCCAGAGTAGGCAAAGCCACTGAGACACAGAGGGGACTGGGAGAGGCCAGCAGCCATGGGACAGTAAGACTCCAGGAGCGAGTGCTTACGGGCAAGAGGACTCTTCTAGGGTGATGAACACGTTTTGGAACGGACAGAGGTGATGGCCACAGAACTCCGTGACTGTGTTAAATGCCACTGAACTATACACTTAAAAATGGCTAAGTTCATTTTATGATATGTGAATTTTACCTCAAAATTTTTTTTTTTTGAGACACAGTCTCGCTCTGTCACCCAGGCTAGAGTGCAGTGGCACAATCTTGGCTCACTGCAACCTCCGACTCCTGGGTTCAAGTGATTCTCCTGCCTCAGCCTCCGGAATGGGTGGGACTACAGGCACGCACCACCATGCCCAGTCAAATTTTGTTATTTTTAGTAGAAATAAGTTTCACCACGTTGGCCAGGAAAGTCTCAATTTCTTGACCTCTGCCTGTCTCGGACTCCCAAGTTCTGGGATTATAGGCATGGGCTTCCGTGCCTGGCTACCTCAATTTTTTAAAATGTACAAATCGAAAAGGGTCCATCCCACGTGGAGCCTTGGGCGTATGTACACCACAAGTCTCCAAGAAGCGGGTAGGAGAGAGAGGAGCGGTATGGACCTTACTGGGGGACAAGAGGGAGGCTCTGCAGCCACTCCTCTTCTCACCGCGACATCCCCTCATGGCCTGCACGTGGCCTGGGTGATCCCTGCCCAGGTGCAGGACTGCAGCCCAGTGCTCCCAGGACTCCAGTCCCTCCACACTGCCGTGTCCTCGTGTGATGACAGAGCACAGGGTGAACCTGCTTCTCCTGGGAGTTCCTCAAGGGAAACACACACACATACCCTCCCGTCCTGCTCAAGCAGTTGGGACTCTTCTGCATGCCAAAGGCCTCGTTACCTGAGGCGTGGGTTCTGGGCAAGGCTCTGCACACGGGCCCAGGCGTGGTTGTTCCGTGGCTGTAGCTCTATAGGGACTTTCAGGGGCAGGCGCACTGGCTTCTGGTCCTCTTCATCACTCAAGCCTGCAACAGAAAGGAATCATTACAGTTCAGCGCAGATCGACCTTAAGGTAGAAAACCAAGCACTTGGCCAGACAACCCAGTGAAATCAGAGAGCTGTGAGCAGGCCACTTTACAGACAGAGGCAAGGACAGCAGAGAAACCCCAGCAAAGAAGAAACTCTGATGTGGTCACTCATGGGTTTGCAAAGGCAGAGCCACAGACTGGTGCAGAGAGGCCATGGGAGACTCAATCCTGACAACAGGTAACTGGTCTGCTGACTGCTACCATGGCTCTTAGCTCAACTTGACTGAGTGGACGCAGGAAGCATTTCAAGTTCAAGAGTTGTCCATTTGCAGCCTTGGGATTAAGCAGGGCCAGACATAAACCAACTGCAGCAGAGACCCTGTAGCTCAGCCTGCCCGTCACTGAATGAGACACCACAGGCACCGCCTCTGGTCCTGGGAGCGCCCCATTCACCTACCATCTGGATCGCAGAGCTTCTTCAGGGCCCGGCACATGGGCGCTTTGATCCGCAGGTTCCGCCCTTTGTAACGTACAGTGGTGGCCCTGGGAAAAGAGTTTTGAAGGAACGCTGAGGCCTGTGAGTGAACGGAAGGACAGAACGGCCAGCACGCCAAGAGGCATGGGCCAGGCGAGGTGAGGCCTGCCCAAGTATCCACCCCAGGCTCTGGAGCCCACCTGAGTCAGTGGGAGGACAAGGCTACAAACAAGAGGTGCTGACTGCACATCCTGCTGCTTTCCTGACCATGCTTCACACTCCAAGGGACACCTGCTTTTTAAAGAAAATCTACTGTGCCCTCCTGCCTTGGTGACTGACCTGGTACAGGCTCATGTCCCATCCCTGGAAAAGCCACTGTCCTAGGGTGCCCTCAGATGGCTGCCCTCCTCTCCACTGCCCCAGCTCTGTGCAGTTCTCCTGCTCTGCTCCCTAAGAGCAAAAACTCTCAGTACTCCTCTCCATGACTTCTCAGTCCACCACTCTGTGACCTCTGTGTGGCCTCAACCCACCCCTACACAACCTCTGTGACCTCAGTCCACCTCTCCATGACCTCTGTGTGACCTCAACCCACCTCTAGATAACCTCTGTGTGAGCTTAGTTTACCTCTGCAACTTCTCACTCCACATCTGTGCGACCTTTCTGTGAGGAGTTTCTAAGAGAAACACCAACTTGAATTCCAAGGAGTGGATCCCAGTCAAGAAAGCCTCTGGCCAGCAGTCCACTGGCTAGTAAATGACTACGGGCTTGGGTGTTTTACAAAATGCTCAGGGCAGCCAGACGCAGTGGCTCACACCTGTAATCCCAGCACTTTGGGAGGCCAAGGTAGGTGGATTACATGACGTCAGGAATTTGAGAACAGCCTGACTAACATGGAGAAACCCCATCTTTACTAAAATTACAAAATTAACCAGGCATGGTGGTGCATGCCTGTAGCCCAGCTACTCGGGAGGCTGAGGCAGGACAATCACTTGAACTAGGGAGGCAGAGGTTGCAGTGAGTCAAGATTGCACCATTGCACTCCAGCCTGGGCGACGAGAATGAAACTCCGTCTCAAAAAAAAAAAAAAACAAAAACAAAAAACAAAAAAAAACTCGGGGCAATGTGTTTGATTTTGTTTTTATTATTTTCTGTCTTAACCAATTTTTATCAATTCACCATCTCCCAGCTGCACATATGTCAGGTAGGAGAGCTGCTGTTCAATTTCTAAGAAAGAGTCCATGAAAAGCCACAGAACACATATATAGCATGATTCTAAAGACACGTAAAAAAATTACCTATTCGTCTCTGTATGTATGTACACTTATACCTGTACCATTACTTATGTAAATTCCCTAAGATAAAAAAATCAAAAAGATACACATAAAATGACTGTAAGTGGTTAACTCTGATGAGAAGAGATGAGCAGGATGGGGTGGTGGAGAGGGTCTTATATTTTATCTATGTATCATTTGAAAACTGTTTAAGACTTATATTTATGCATTACTTGTATCGTTTTTAAAAGTCTTATTCCAATAGAAAGATGACCAAACTTAGAGATCAAACTGGGAACAAGTGTCTGAAGCAAGCGCTGCACGGGAGGGACTCTGGAGATGATTCCCGCAGTTTGGCTGGAAAAGCAGCCTCCGCTGAACGCGTCTAATTGGAAGAGCCAGTTCTGGCAGTCTCAGACAGGAGAAAAGGGTGTTTTGCAAAACACCCAAATCTCCATATCCCAGTACACAAAGCTGCAATCCCCTTCCTTTTAAAAGGGTGCTAGCTCTAATTTCAGCATTATACAGTCTCAATACCCCACACAGTAGATTTCATCATCACCCCAAAAACCTAAGGCTTTAATCAAGTGTTTATGAGGGCACACAAGCCAGGTACAGTGGCTCACACCTGTAATCCCGGCACTTTGGAAAGCCGAGGCAGGCGGATCATCTGCGGTCAGGAGTTCGAGACCAGCCTGAAGATCAGGCTGAGAAAGAGTTTTGCTCTTGCTGCCCAGGTTGGAGTGCAATGGCGTGATCTCGGCTCACTGTAACCTCTGCCTCCTGGGCTCAAGTGATTCTCCTGGGTCAGACTCCCAAGTAGCTGGGATTACAGGCGCCCATCACCATGCCCAGCTAATTTTTTCTATTTTTAGTAGAGACAGGGTTTCTCCATGTTGGCCAGGCTGGTCTCAAACTCCTGACCTCAAGTAATCTGCCTGCCTCAGCCTCCCAAAGTGCTGGGATTACAAGAAAGAGCCACTGCACCGAGCCAGAATCAATTCTAAAACAATCTCCTCCAGTGAAGTGCTCTGGAAACAAATGGACGTTTCTGCTCACCGTTTTTTATTCCATCTGCCCCAAAACAAAACAGTAGTAGGCAAGATTTAAACAGCTGGTGGAGCTGTGTCATGTGGCACCTGTGTTTTCGATAATCACAATTTCCGTTAAACTGCTATTTTGTGACTTCCTTTTTTTTTCCTTCAGTGAAAATGAGTGCACCGTTCTGCATTCACATGGAACCATTCTGAGATTACAATCCTCCATCTTTTCTCTCAAATGGAAATCCCATGACCAACTAGAGGCTATGGCACTGAACAAGGTGAAGAGCCATGTTAAAATGCAAAAGCCAAGAGGAGACTCAGGTTCGGCTGCAGTCCCAGGACGTGGTCCATACTTTCCCAATCTCACACCGGGCCGAAGCTGTTAAGACATGCCACGACTTCCCAGACAGGCCCGGCACAGGGGTTTAAGAGGTGCTATCTATTAGAAGGATCCCAAGCTGACCTCCACGTGAGCCATCAAATAGAGGCTCTATGTATACCCTTCCATGAGTCCCTTTTTTTATTTTGAGGCGGAGTTTTGCTCTTGTTACCCAGGCTGGAGTGCAATGGTGCGACCTCGGCTCACCGCAGCCTCTGCCTCCTGGATTCAAGCAATTCTCCTGCCTCAGCCTCCTGAGTAGCTGGGATTACAGGCACGCGCCGCCATGGCCAGCTAATTTTTAGTATTTTTAGTAGAGACAGGGTTTCACCATGTTGACCAGGATGGTCTCGATCTCTCGACCTCGTGATCCACCCGCCTCGGCCTCCCAAAGTGCTGGGATTACAGGCTTGAGCCACCGCGCCCGGCGAGTCCCTTTTTTTTTTTTAAGGCAGAGTCTTTCACTCTGTCACCCAGGCTGGAATGCAGTGGCACGATCTCAGCTTACTACAACCTCTGTCTCCTGGGTTCAAGCGATTCTCATGCCTCAGCCTCTCAAGTAGCTGGGACTACAGCCATGTACCACCACACCCAGCTAATTTTTGTATTTTTAGTACAGATGGGATTTCACCATGTTGGCCTGCCAGGTCTCCAACTCCTGGCCTCAGGTGATTTGCCTGCCTTGGCTTCCCAAAGTGCTGGGATTATAAACGTGAGCCACCACGCCTGGCTGAACAACATTTCAACGAATAGAAAACAGAGTAATTCCTCTATGTACACGGGAGCCTGGCTTTCCTTTCTGATAGATTTATTTTCTTCTCTGCAAAGCCACCTGATAAATCTAATAAGCACATGCTAAACTTATGCCTCTGGGTCTGTGAACAACGTAAGATTTCACTTTACGTTAGACCTTTTCTAAATCCATTTACTCTTTAATTTTACAATTCTACAACCAAAAAAAGATTCATAGTTAATTGAAACAGGTCTGCATGAGAAGTAGGGGCGGCAGCAAGTAAAACACCCCAATTGCTTTTGGGCTGAAATCCAGGGGTAGCCTCCCACAGGCACCTCGCTCAATCTTCCCGATCTCTCACCTTCACAGGTTGCTTGTTTGTAAATGCGAATGTCTGCTTGTGAAAGAATAAACACAAAAGTTGACAGAACAGAAGGTCCAGAATGGACCCAGCATGGGACAGTCAACTGATGTTTGACAAGGGTGCAAAGGCCACTCAATGGAGAATGGACAGTCCTTTCAGACGGCATGGGAACACCCTGACACCCACAGGCAAAAAGCAAAGCTCCAGCTAAACTTCACATGGTACACAAAGTTAATCCAAAGCAGATCAGAGATCTAAATGTAAAACTGTAAAACTTTTAGAAGAAAACACAGGGAACATCTCTGTGCCCTTGGGTTAGGCAAAGAGTTCTTAGATGCCATATTGAAAGCACAAACCATAGAAGAAAACAGTGATAGACCGGACTTCATCAAAGCGAAAGACTGTCCTTCTGTGCAAGACAGTAAGTGAACAAAAAGACCACAGGCTGGGATAAAGTATTTGCAGATGGCGTATCTAACAGAAGACTTGTATCTACAATATACAAAGAACTCTTTAAACTCAAGAAGAAAGCAGGCATAAAATACGAACAGGCACTTCACCAAAGATACACAGACAGCAAATAAGCACGAGAAAGACGCTCGGCGTCATGAGTCATCAAGGAAATGCGTCAAAATCACAGTACAATGCCACTCCGCATCTAATAGGGTGGCTCAGAAAGATAACCCTCAAACACGCCAAGTGCCGGGGAGCAACTGCAACTCTCCTGGAAGAGTGTGGCAGCTCCGTGTTGAGCCAAACACACACTCCCACCTCCTCCCTCCCAGGGACCAAAAACCACACACACAAAAACCTGGAGGCAAAGCCCCGTCACTTCTTCATCAACACTACAACACTGCCAACAGCCCTGGGCCACTCCACTCTAAAGGAATAACACAGTGCAGCACGTGGACATCGTGGAACACAACTCGGCAGGTAAAAGGGAGAAGCTGCAGATCCACAAGACAACAGGCAAGAGCCTTAAGGGCACAATGCTGAGTGGGGACGCCCATCTCAGAAGGCTGCATACCATGATCTCCTTTAGACGGCTTCCTGGAAAAGGCAAAATTACAGGGAATGGAAAGTGGTGCAGAGGTTGGGGCAAGCTATGGGGGACGTACAGAAGGGACCTGGCAGTGTTCCACATCTTCACAGTGGTGGCAGCTACACAACTCTATGAATTTCTTAAAATTTCCAGGACTGTAAGTGAAGAGGCCAATCTACAAAGACTAAGCCCAGGATGATTCCAGTGTGACGACACCACTCTAGGAAAGGTGCAGCTAGAGAGAGAGGGAAGATCAGTGCCTGCTGGGGGCAATGGGAAATGACAGGCAGAGCACAGGGTGTTCAGGGCAGTGAAATGCCCCTGTGTGATACCCATGTTTCATTACCCGTGTGTCCAGACTCACAGATGGCACAATGCTGAGTGGGCCTGTAAGTAAACTATGAACTCTGGGTGATGAGGAAGGGTCAAGAAAGGCTCACAAATTGTGATAAAAGGACCACACCAATGCATAATAACACCTGTAATCCCAGCATTTTGAGAGGCCAAAGCGGGAGGATCACCTGAGGTTGGGAGTTAGAAACCAGTCTGGCCAACATGGTGAAACCCCATCTCTACTAAAAATACAAAGAATTAGACAGGTGTGGTGGTGGGCACGTGTTAATCCAGCTACTCGGGTGGCGGAGGCAGGAGAATTGCTTCAACCCAGGAGGAAGAGGTTGCAGTGAGCCAAGACTGCGCCACTGCACTCCACCAGCCTGAGCGACAGAGCAAGACTCCATCTCAAACAAAACAAAACAAAACAGAACACACCAACAAAGTGTTAATAACAGGGGAAATCATGTGTGGGGTGGAGGGGGCATAGCTCTGTACACAATTTTTCTGTAAACTTAAAACTGCTCTAAAAAATAAAATATTTTAAAACAAACTTGTAGAACTGTACGACAAAAAGCACAAAAAAAAACCATGTTAAAATATTAAAGCAAAAAATGGGTCGGGTACAGAGGATCATGCCTGTAGTATCACTGCTTTGGAAGGCCAAGGTGGGAGGATAAATTGAGCCCAGGAGTTTGAGATCATCCTGGGCAACACAGAGAAACACTGCCTCTGTTAAAAAAAGGAAAGAAAGAAAAAGAATGTACACACCACACCACCTCCAACACTACCTCCATCTCTTCTCCACAGGGAACAAGAAGCACAACTTTACCCACAACAAGGGGCTCTCCTGCTGCAAAACTCTCCACTACCTTCCTGAGACACAGTGGGGGCTGCTGGAACAGCTCCTGTGCTCAGAGTCAGGCTGGGTCCAGCCCTCCAGCCTCAGTTCTGCAACCTCCTCCTCCCCTCCCCTCCCCTCCCGAGGCTTCTACAGCCCAGTTTCTCCTTCCCACCTTCCTTTCCCTGGGCCAGATGGTTCCCCAACTCTCTGTGTGTCCCCCACTTGCCTCTTTAAGACCTTGGCCACCATCCTGGAAAAGCCTTCCCTAGATGTCCTAGGCAGGTTCCCTTCCTGCCAGCTGCCATGTCTGCATCCATTTACCATGTCAATTTCATGGTAACTTTCATCCCGTTACTGTACACGTCTACACGGCACACAAAGGTGACCTGCTCAATGGACTTGCATCAGCTGCCACAGCACGGCTGCCACCACGGCATAACCAGCACCCATTCTTATGCCAGGCACACACAGACACCCGGGCATTTCTAGAGCCAATGAACATACACCTCAGCAGCCCTTCTGCCTCAGATCTCTCCATGGGTACAGACAGAAACCTTTCCTTGCTGGTACCATGCTGCTCCAAACCTCTTCTCCGTTCCTCACAACTCTCTGGAGGATGACAACTGGACAGGTAAGGCTGGGACCCAGAGAGTCAGCTGAGCGCGGTCAGGTCACTTAGTGCTGGCTCCCACTCTTGCTGAGGCCTCACCCAGCACTCAGTCCAGGAGCTGGCACTGCCTTCACCTGCAATTTGCCAAATCCCTGTCTACTGAGGCAAATTCTCCATCAGCACCCACACCTGAGCTGACTCTTTTGTCACCTGCTCAGGGTTTTCCAGACAAACTGGAGTATGCCAGGTGGGCTACGTCGACACTGGCTTTAAAGGGCAATCAATCTTGCCATCCTGCTAACAGACCCACCTCATGGGCCCACCCTCAACATCATCTCGGGGCCGTCCACTGTGGAAGCACAGCAGAGAACAGCCGACTTTCAGTCATGCTGCCTCCTTAGCAACAGGCCCAAGACTCGGCCTGGAGGAGCTGCGGACACACGCCAGCCTCCCTCTTCGTTTGTTTCTCAGAATGGCAGATGGTATGACCGTAAATGGCACCAAGCTGTTGAGCATGCATAAGCTCATGACACGTTTCAATGCCACTATCCACACACCTGCTGCCCGGGAAGACGAGGTGGGAGGGGTGCTGCTGCACATGACACTGAGGACAGACAGGGCACAGACCCATTCCTGTTCCTTGCCCTTCACTTGGCAGAATCATGTGAGAGTTTTTTTCTCCCCCAAGAGGGAGACTTCCTCTGTCGCCCAGACTGAAGTGCAGTGGTGCAATCTCGACTCTGCATCCTCCACCTCCCGTGTTCAAGTGATTCTCCTGCCGAGCAGATGGGATTACAGGCGCATGCCATCATACCCAGCTAATTTTTGTATTTTTAGAAGAGACAGGGTTTCACCATGTTGACCATGCTGGTTTCGAACTCCTGACCTCGTGATCCACCTACCTCAGCTTCCCAAAGAGCTGGGATTACAGGTGTGAGCCACCTCGCCCAGTCAACCTGAAGGTTCTTTACCCCAGAAGGCACTTTACCCCTCTGCACACTTCAGTGAGCATCTCCAGTCCTGCAAGCCATGACCCTGTCATCACTCAGGAATCTACACTCTTATCACGCAGCCCATCATCAAAGCCCCCCAGTTATACCTAGAATACCCTTTGCAATCATTTCCTTCTCTTTTCTTTCCCTAGTTTTTTTTTAAAGGCCCAAGATCTCAACAAAGCTACTGGCTGCATTTGTTTGTCAAGGGTCTCTGGTCCCTGGGAACTGCCTGTGCCCATGTCATCAAATGGAATCTATTTTTTAAATAAGTTCTCATGCAGATGGCACTGCAGATGCCCCTTGCGCCCCCACTGAGCAGGATGTCTGTGCTCCGGCAGAAGGAACGCTCATCGGACAGGCTACCCGGCACCGTCCTCAAGCACGGAGCAAAGAGCCCAGAACTCCGGCTTCACCCCATGAATCCTGGAAGAACTGAAATAAAAGGCAAAGGAAGATTCGCCCCAAGTTCGAATCCTGGAGCAGCGTTTTCCCTCATGGGACAGCCCCTTGCCTATGGGTCAGAAGGTGACATCAGAAACCACCTAAGCCCTGGATCTTAAGCCTTCTCAAGAAGGTTCCTCCTACGTGCCGAGCACTGTTCTGGATAAGCCAGATACTGCCTGAAGGAGGTGGAGCAGGAGCGCGAGTGGGAAGGAAGCAGGGTTCTGAAGCTGGGAGGGGCGCCTCGGCAGGGCAGTGAGCATGGCCAGTGGCCCCTGGCTGTACCTCAGATCCAATCTGGGAAGTATATTCAGTGTTGGGACAACCTGTGTTTTCTAGTGGCTGTGGTCAATCACAAGTCTTTCCCATGGTAATGATGCCTATAACCCAGTTACAGTTGCTGGCTCCAGGCTGGTGGCAGCTCACACGGAGCCTGGGAATCATGCCCAACACCTGCTGTGCTGGGAATGCAGGGAAAGGCCCTGTGCTGGCCCAGCAGGCACTGCTCCCACTGGGGCAGGGAGGGCTCCCAGGTCATCAGACACAAGCCTGGGGGAGAAGGGCCAAGGGGAAAAGCAACCAGAGGTTCAAGGGTGAGGTGCTGCAGACAGAAGAGAGATGGGTAAGGACTGTTCAGGAGTGGCTCCAACGGCAGGGCTCTGGCGAGCAGGTGGCACACCCACAAGGATCGGAAATGGTTGTGCAGACACAATGTCTGGGGTTCAGCAAACTGGGAGCAGCCAGCCCGGTGTGGTCAGTGGCCAAGACAGATTTAAGATAGGAGGGCCACCAAAGAGGACCCACATCAAGTACAAAATGCACATATGCAGAACCCCCCAGGCTGTGGAGTGGGGACCTCCTTCCCCTGGGAGCAGGGAGCCCCCAGGCTGTGGAATGGGATGGCTGGGCCCCGTCCTGGAATGCAGCCCAGCAGCAGCAACTGGACAGATGTCGACTAGACCATCAGGAGCCCAGGTGTTTGTGTGGCCAGGAGAGCACATGCCCTCTGGGAGTCAGTGTGAGGGGAGGACAGCAGCCAGTCAGAGACAGGAGCATCCAGGGCATGAGAAGGTAGGGAAGCTGTCAGAAGTGGCCCAAGACATGACAAAAATGCAATGGGACAGGCTCTAGAAGCCGGGACCAGGCCCACAGCACCCACAAAGGGGGAAGAAAAGGAGCACAAAAAGCAGGATCCTGAGAGCTGCATCAAGATCGCACACCCGGCCAGAGACCCTTGGAAAGGAGGAGGCCAGGGAGGGCCCTTCCCTCCCTCCCCACCGTGGACAGGGGCTCCGGGTGCAGTCACCGCTCCCTGGACTGAGCACCCTCTGTCGGGACTGAACATGTAACTGAGAGGTTATGAGGTTTTAACTCAGAAGGTCCTCACTGAGAAAGCTTCAGCTTCTACATTTTAGAGAAAAGACACAAGCACCCAGAGGATTGAGTGACGTTTCACAAGAAAACTGGGACTTACCCAACCTGAATGAGTTCATTCAGCTTTGTCGCATTCTTATCATCCATACCTTTAAATGAAAAAATAAATGAGACAGTGATGTAGTTAGGAGCAAAGCCACTGAAAGTTCCCATATAATTCTGTTCAATATAGACTCAAATCCCATTACCGAGTACTAAAGTTCCTCTGGAATAACAGCCCTACAATAGCTGCAGCCCCTCCCTCAAAGCCACAGCTTCGTGTCAGCTGCCCTGGTCACCCCCGCTCACCTGAAAGGCTGGCAATGTCCCTGCCTGGCCCCTTCTTCAGGCAGGCACACTACATGGCCTCTGCCTAGCTGATTTGTCCTCCCCAAATCTTCTTCCTAGGTCCCCCCAGTGCCGGCCTTCCACTCATCCCTATCTGCGTGGCTCGATGGCTAGTTCCTTCAGGCATCACACCTGCCCCACACACACTTCCTGCTGGGCTCGTACTGAGTGTCCGGTGTTGACCCTCTGGCCCACAGTGTGCAACCCCTAGGGCACCCAGGGTCTGCAGAATGAAGACACCAACACCCTCTGAGTTTCCTGGAGCAGATGCCCCACTTCCTCTGACCTGCTCGGGACTCTTCACTATCTTCAAGATGTGCGAGAAAGCAACTACAGTACATTAGCAGGAGAAACTTGGTGGTGGGTACTTGGGTGTTCACCGTAAAATTCTCTGAATTCTTCTGCATGTTTGGGGGAAAAAAAACTCCACAAATGGCAGGCTAAAAACCAAAACCAAAGACAAAACTGTCAAAGCAGCCAGAGGCAGACAATGAGCTTCACATGGAGGAATGAGGATGCAGATGACCACTGACTCCTCTCATCAGAGCGTCACAGGCCAAAGGCAGTGGACAACAGCATCAATGAGACAAAAGAACCAACCTGTCAGATTAGAATTCTCTATCTGGCAAATACATCTCTTAAGAATGAATATGAAATAAAGAGTTTTCAGATAACTAATAAGAATTCACAGCCAGCACAACTGCATGGCATGAAATAAAGGATGTTTTTCAGGATGAAGGAAAACAAAGCCAGATGGAAGCGGAACTTCAGGACGGAATAAAAACATGGGAAAGGGCTCTAGTCGCCAGGCGAGGCACCGAGAAAGGAACCAGTCATGGAAACTGGCCAGGCATGGCATGCCACGGGGTCACTGGGCCTCACCTCGCCCGCTACTCGATGAAGGGCAGAGGCTGGGTGCAAAGTGTGCCCCTCGCTCAGCAATTTGAGTCATTTATTCACATCAAACTTGAGCATCCTCATGAGGCAGGAGAATAGGGTCTGGAGGCAGGGAACCTAAGGCCAATTCATGCTGCCTTCCTAGAACTAAATCAAAAGGAAAACCCCAACTTTCCACACCTAAGTAACAAAAGGACCAGAGGCTCCTCCTTTTTGCAACCACTACCCTTTGTTTCTATGTGGCAGATGGAAAATTGAAAGTTATCTCTGATTGGTTGCGGCAAGCAGAAAGCAACCAATCAAACATTTACATAGTTACATGCTAACTTTGTAAGCAACCAATCAGACTGACTGGGGCCAATTCTTCCTTTGCATAGAACTGTAACTTTGTAACCACTTTAGCTTCTGGTTGGTTGCTTTCCACAGCCAGATGTTTGCATAGGGTGTAATGTCTGTACTTCACTTCAGTGTCTGATTGCAGGCCACTGCTTCATTTACATAGAGTATACACCAAATAGCCAATGGGAAACCTCTAGAGGGTATTTAAACCCCAGAAACTTCTGTAAAAGGGCTCTTGAGCCCCCATGCTTGGGCCCATTCCCATCCCATGGAGTGTACTTTGGTTTTTTTCAATAAATCTGTGCTTTTGTTGCTTCATTCTTTCCTTGCTTTGTGCATTTTGTCCAATTCTTTGTTCAAAATGCCAAAAACCTAGACACCCTTCACCTCCCAGAAGCTTCTATGGAAGGAACGAGGAACAAGTAGTAGACAGAAGGACCAGGCAACACTCAGTGGAAACACATGGTCAAGGTAGGGTTTTCCTTTCCTTGGGGAAGATGAGAGCTGGGAGAGCTGTAGCGTAAACTCCTTGGGGCCTGGGATGCTTCCCGAGGCTGAGAGCGAGCAGATGAGAGGCAGCAGGAATGGGCATGAGGAGCTGGAACACGAGGGCCACAGATGTGGGTGCTGGAGCTGAGGGCTGGGACAGGCAGGCTGAGGAGGGAGGAGAAGGTGTGGCTGGGCCCAGAGGGGACAAACCCAGTGGGGAAGTGCAGGAGGGCAGGGCCTCCCACACACAAATGCCACACTGGCTTGCAGCAGCCAACCCACAGGACACAGCAAGGCATGGAGAGGCAACGAGGAGGCAGAGTACGGTACAGGCGGGGCACACACAGGGCGACTGCTCTGGACCTGTCCTGTCAGCCCCGCCGCCCGCCCTGAGTTATGCTATGCTAGCCGATGCGGTCAGTATCCCACTGAACCTGCGAAGCAGCCCCGTGGGTGTGCACCCCTAGAGTGCCACTGGACAGCCCAAGTGTGCTCTCTTTTCTGGAGTCAGGCAGAAGAGGCAGGACTGAGGGGCGCTGGGCACAAGCGCCTGATAAGAGAACAACGTCCCTACCTAGAGGAAGTGTCAAAAATGTCTAAAGGCTATCTGGTCCCAAGGAGACAATCGGAGCAAACCCAAGCAAGGCCCTGTGTGAGGACAGCCTGGGCACGTCCCAATGCAATGTTTCAGAAGCCCATGCAGTACAGCCACTCTAAGTCAAAGACACCCAAGGAAGACTCCACAGTTACATGCAAGGCAATGGCCCTGGACAGAAGACCTGACTGATACTTTGGGATGTTTTAGAAAATCTGAATATGGGCTAGAAATTAGGGAAGATTACTGCATCTGTTTGGTAAATGCTAAAGGTCTTGGTGTGACCATGGCATCAAGGCTATGCAGGAGAACATGCTCTGAGGTGATGCCAGTGGAGGTGTTCCAGGCTTGCATGACATATTACAGTCAAGTGGAGTGCAGAGCATGTGAACACGTGTGCGCATGCAAGCACATGAGCATGGAGAGAGACAGCAAATGTGGCTAATGTCAGCAACAGGTCCATCTAAGCCAAAGAGCACGGCAGCCATCAGCCATGGGTGCACAGAGCGGGCAAGAGAACAAATGTAACCAGTGTCAGTGACAGCAGATCCATCTAAGCCAAAGAGCATGGCAGCCATCGTATTTTTCACCTCTTCTATTATTAACATTTTTTCACGACAAAAGTCAGAGAGAGAAAACAGAAGCAACTCTGGGCACTAAAGCCCAAAGGTGACAAGGACGGGAGGAGCTGCGGGCAACCCCACAGGTGGCATACTCACAGCCCCCGATCTTCTTGCGCAGCTCGCCGTAGCAGATCAGGCCATACAGCTCCTGGGAAGACTTCTTCAGGCCTCGAGAGAACACTGAGAGACAGAAGAAAAGGCGGCTTTAGAGAGGGGAATGCAGGGAGGTGCTGCATGGCTCGCACCTGGGAGCCACGCCGGGCTCATGCGGTTTCTTCTATCTGCTCCCGGTACCTTAGTCACGCAGGCTGTCAACCACAGGGGACACTGGGCAGAGTGTAGAGAACACGGTGCTGTGTTTGCAATTTTCAAAATAGAAAGTTAAACAAACCAAAGTGGAGAGATAGAAATTTACTCCTAACAGGCCGAAGAAACGTCCCCTGGAGGAGAAAATAGAACTCCAAACAGCTGGTTCTGGTGGAGGCAGTGGATGTGACCGGCACTAAACCTGTCATGCATCTCTGCACACAGGGGAGGCCAGCAGCCCTGTAACCTAGGATGCTGTCTTCCTGACTCACCTGTGCCCTCCCGGGACAGATCTGTACAGCCTGGGGCCAGGCAGGAAAAGGACTACAAGCGTGAGCCACCACACCCAGCCTCATCAGACTCTAAGGATTCCATGACTTGGAAAGCTTTAAGATCCACTATTCAGTAGACAAGCAAAATGTGGCCATCCACCCAATGGAAGATTATCCAACCACAGAAAGGACTGGCACATGCTACAACACAGGCAAACCCTGAAACCCTATGCTGAGTGAAGGGAGCCAGGCACAGAAGGACACGTAGCACGTGACCCCATTTCTATGAAACGTCTGGAGTAGAAACATCCACAGAAACAGGAAGTAAACTGACAGCATCCAGCAAAGGGTTTCCTTCTGGTGCAATGGACGCATTCCGCGACTACAGAGAGACCATGGCTGCATAACTTTATATTAAGAACCACTAAATTGTACACTTTAAAAAGGTGAATAATATCCCCATTTCTAAAATATATTTTTAAAAGTCCGCTATTTGAAATGGCAAAAAGAAAAAAACCCACAACCCAGAAAGAGAGAAGAAAGTAGCACCAGGAGCAAGACAGTGCAGACAAGGGGCCCCCAGGCAGGTGGGACCCAGGGAAAAAGCAGGGGTTCCGGGGGGCGTCCCTGGTGCTCTGCCTGACCCCACAGCCTCCTAGGTGGCACCTCATGTTTTGTTCCACACTCAGGGACAGGAACCACACTCACCTCATCCAAACTTACTAAGTTTGTGAAACAAAATCTCTGCAGAGACACCAGCAGGGAGATGTGGATGTGCACGGAAATCACGGGAGATTAACAAGACAAACACAAACTCAAGGTCATGGCTCCCGAACCGGGGTGGATTCAGTCCGTTCACACTCCTCACTTACCACTGCTCTGTGTCTTATTCCACTCCATGAGTCAGACAAACCACAATAAAGTGCACACGGTACACTCTTCAAAAATCCAAAGCACAGGCTGGTTGCGGTGGCTCATGCCTGTAATCCTAGCACTTTGGGAGGCCGAGGCAGGTGGACTGCCTGAGCTTAGGAGTTTGAGACCAGCGTGGCAACATGGTAAAATCTTGTCTCTACTAAAAAATATTAAATTAGCCAGGTGTGGTGGTACATGCCTGTAATCTCAGCTACTTGGGAGGTTAAGGCATGAGAATAGATTGAACTCACGAGGTGGAGGTTGCAGTGAGCCGAGATCACGCCACTGCACTGCAGCCTGGGTGACAGAGCAAGACTTTGTCTCAAAATACAAAATAAAACTCTAAAGCATGCTAAAAAATACATGTAACATGAAAGGCTGCCACTCTGATTGATGTGCAATGACAGTCCATGGGGCCAGTCACTTCGCAGTATCCTGGTGGCCTCCAGCCTCGGGGCTCCTGTTGGGCAAGACAGCATTGGGTGCCCCAGTGCCACTGCTCACCAGTATGGAGGCAGAGAGCCTGCCGGAGACATGATCAGGGCCATCAGAGAACCTGGGGGAACAGTGAGCTCAACAGGAAGAAGGCACATCATGCGGGGTCACACCAAAATGCACGAACAGGAGACACCAAGGCTGTAGGCGCCTGCTGTGCCAGATCAGGAAAAGGGGGAAACGGTGGGGAGGGAAGCACAGGGACCACATGGAGAAGGGGAAAGGACCTGCGTTGGGTATGACCCCCACAGAGGTGTGAGGGAGCATTTAAAATCCCTTCACCTTAGACGGAGAGAAGGGCCAAAGAGGAATGACGCCTCCACATGCCAGGGAAGTTTAGGATTAGGAGTGTACAACAGGGAAAGGCAACAAAAATAGACAAGAAACATTTGCTTTGACTGCCTTCTGAAATTGACATGAGAGAGAGTCTGGGTGGGCAGACAGAACGTGTACTTGAACCTCAGAACAGATGAGTCTACGCCGGGAGCCTGAGGGTCCAAAGACGCTGCCCACGCTGCCCGCAGGTGGTTCACACAAAGCACTCTGGACTGAATCTCCTGGAGTCCCAACCTTCTCTCTATACGTCATCTACCAAATAGCCACCCAGTCCCCTCCACTGCTAGCCAGCTTCCTCCGCACAGAGCTTTTCAAGACCAGCCATTGTGGATGGTGGATCCGCTCTCATGGGCTGACTTTCACAAAGGCAGTAACGAAGTGTGCAAAGGACAGCTGACACAGAAAGAGGCTGACAGTGAAAACTCAGTGCTGCGTGCAACCGTGGAAGGCACGAGGCCACTCACTACAACCTGACATTAATCACAACAGCCTTGGGTGACAGGATCCGATCAGGGCTGAGATTCCAAATAAACAAGTGAGCTGGACATAAGAAAACCAGCACAGGTAGCAAATATAGGACAAAATGGAGGTAATGCGCCATAAACAAGTCAAGTCAGCAGAAAATCTTATGTTAATGGTCACACAGATACCAAAAGCAAACAAACAAAAGCTGCATTGGCAGCAAACCTGAATCAAGGGGCGCCCCTAACCTACAGAAACCAACAGCTGTTTCCATGAAGCTCCAGAAATAGCGACAACTCCTAGGGGACGTTCTTCAGTGGAGAAGTTGCGCAGTGGGCAGGGGTTATCTGCGGCCCTCAGGGATCTGCCCCAGTCAGACAGGGGAGCTGGGTACTGGCTCTTCCCAAAGCTCTGGGCAACGCCAACGCACCATGGTCGATACCATAATCTGTCCAGAGGACACAACAGGGAATGGCCAAGGCGAGGGACTTTAGGTCACCACAAGGCACAGGTAAGGGCACAAGGAGTGGCAGCATAGCCACAGTCCAGGTACCCTGCGTCGGAACACAAGACATCTGAAAGTAGGGTCAGAAGGCAGCGGGGAGACCCGGGGGTGCATCTGGAAGGACCATGCTGTGCATGAAGCTGCAGGAAGAGCAGGGCCCAACACAGGGATACTGCTGGAGAGGTAGTTCTGACAGGCACAGGCAGGAGGTGGCTGAGCCTCCTGAAGGCAGAGATGGTGATGGACAAAGCATCGCCTGGAGAAGCCATCAGCAGCCAAAAGGTGCTCTGAGACAGAGCTAGAATCATACCTGGGAATGACTTGATCCTGTGAATGAAGAAGGGCCTGCACAGACCTGGGTCCCAGTACAGAGAGCAAGAAACCTGGGAAGGCTGGCTGTCCCCCAGGAAGACCAGAGCCAGCCACGGTGCCTACAGCCCAAGCCCCTCGCTGGACCACAGTGCCATCATTTGCAGTGGAGACCACAGGCTCTAGGTGAGCCAGGGACCCAGAACCCATGCACACTCAGAGTGACTGGAAACACACAAACCACAGCTCAGAAAAGCAGTGGAAAGAACCCCAGAGTCTGGGATGTGGGCTGCTTCCTGGCAATTTGGTTTGACCGAGTTAGACGGCACACAATCAGCCAAACGCTACAAGGTAAGGAGCCAAGCAGCTGGTGAGAAAATGCCAGAGAGCAGGTCCGGCGGGCTTGCTGGAAGCTGTGCTCCGAGTGAAAGCCAGCCCTGCCCGTGCGCACCCCCGAGCCTGGCCCGTGGCGCACTCACCGTGGTCAAAGTCGATGTACTTGGTGATCTTGTGCCAGGTTCGGTAGTAGAAGTGGCGGACCTGCTCCTTGTTCTTCACCATGCTCGCTGGCTTGCCTTTCTTCTTGTACTTCAGTGCAATGTTGTTCTGAATCGCTTCAAAGTCCTTCCCATGCTGGAAAATAATTCCATGATAAAAGCGGAGGGGTTAAAATAATGCAGCTTTCTGTGCGAGGTGGACCCTTTCCCAAGGCTCCCAGAAGTGGTGATGGACAAAGCATCGCCTGGAGAAGCCATCAGCAGCCAAAGGGTGCCCTGAGCCAGAGTACCCTTTTTCTTCCAGAAAGGAGAAAAGAGGCAGGCCACGAAAAAGTAAGCTGCCCTTCCCAGCTTTTCTCTGTGTATGAACTTCAACTTTGATTCCCTGGAACCTTAGGTTTTAATCAGGATAAAGGAGCAATGGAACCAATCACGAAACAATCAGAGCACATGGATACCAAAGAGGAAAGTACCCCAGACAGGGGAAGCATAAAGCTTAGCACTTGGACAACTGGCTTAATGGCTAGAGTTGTTCACAGACCATGAAATGAGACATCTCCATAAAGAAAGGCTCTGGAAGACAAGAGAAGCCATGTAGCGGTTACGACATCTTGAAGAACAGATCACAAACACCCTCACTGCTTCAATCCTAAAAAACAGAGTCCATATTCAAGGACAGCAAACGTGAACACTTAGTAAGTGAACCACACAGAATATACTGATTATACCTGGGGGCCAACCCTTCTTTGAAGCTTCTGTGCAAAAGCTGAGCGTGACTTAGATTTTAAGACGAGAACTTGTGTTCCAGAGAACAGCGTCACCTCAGTGCTGTTTGAGCCACTGCCACAGAGAACCGAGTGTCTGATCACCTCATCAAAGTGAAGCTCCTGAAGTACTGGAAGGGCTCAGCAGCGACAAGCACTCCTAGCACCAAGGTCTTGGTCTCTAAATATCACTTTGCAAAGGGAAGCAGGGCTCCCAGGAAAAACAGCTGACTGCAAAGCTATGATCAGCCAGTGTGTCTGGAATGCCTGGCGGCACCAGCAAATGAAAACACGCTGATGGGCAACAGGAACACGTGGAGAGGATGCAGGAGCCAGAAAGCCTACAATGGCATGATGGATTATGATCCCCAGAATAAACCCAACATCCCCAAGTCTACATGAGTGTAAGTAACAGAATAACTATACATGTGGGAGAGAAGGCACACTCTTCTGGGCACAGGACTCCCAATCAGCAAATGCAGAAAGAACAACGGAAACAGAAGGTCCTCATTGTGAGCAAACACCATGGTAACAACTGCTTCAGGGAAGAGACAGCAATGGTTGCTAAAATCAGCGGGAGCAAAGAATGATGAAAAACAGGGTATTTACACAGCTTCAAAGGCAAGCCATGACCCACTGTGGTGAGACCTGGTGGAGGCCACCTGAATGCAGCAAGCAAGGCAACCCACCACAAGGACAGAGGCGGAAAGACCACCACGGGCCAGCCACTGAATGTGCCAAGGAAGATGTGGTATCACTGTTGCAGAATTCTTGATGAAAATGCGTTAACAAAGACAGAATCATGAGGAAACTGCAGATCAATCCTAGCTGACACAAGGGACACTCGATCAATTAACAGGCTGTGTGTCTCCACAGGTATCGAGATCATCAAAGACAAAAACCATGTGAACAAACAGAAACCCAGAAGCTGTCCCAGGTTACATGAGACTGAGGAGTCAGGGCAGCTGAGTGCAGTGCAGCATCCTGACCAGTCTGGACATGAGTGGGACCCTTGGTAATCTGAATCCCGCCTGTAGATGAGCAGGCAGGGCAGTGTCTGTGCTCATATCCTCACAGGGTAGCTGCCCTAATGCTGTGGAGGCAGGGTGGAGGGGACCTGCTTTGTGCTGGTTTTTTTGCAACTATTTAAAGGTCTGAAATGTTTCAAAATGAAAAGTTAAGGGAGCCAGGTGGTGGCTCACGCCTGTAATCCCAACACTTTGGGAGGCCGAGGCAGGAGAATTACTTGAGCCCAGGAGTTTCAGACCAGTTTGGGCCACATAGTGAGACCCTATCTCCACAAAAAAAACCTAAAAATTAGCCAGGCATGGTGCAACATGCCTGTAGTCCTAGCTACTTAAAAGGCTGATGCAGGAGGATCATCACTTGAGCCCGGTAGGTCAAGGCTGTAGTGAGCTAAGATGGCAATCCTGCACTCCAGCCTGGGTGACAAAGCAAGACTGACTAAAAAAAAAAAAAAAAAAAACATGTCTTTTAAATTAAAAAAATAAAAAACATGACTATGGGGGCCAAGGGATAGTAACTAGGGACCTCAAGGAAACTGGAACCTGGGGACTGTTGGGGTGCTGGCCCCCAATGCTATCTACCTCAGAGGCCTCTTGGCAGCTGGGGGACTGTGAGGTGAGCTGGGGGGCAAGGAGGTGGCATTGTGGTGAAGACATTTTAGAGTCTGTAACTCCTGGAAACACAGGGGCTGAGGGAGGTGAAGAGAGAAGTTGCTGTGGGCTGGAGAGTGGGCTGGAAGGCTGGCCCTGGTGCAAAAATAAAATGAAAAATTTAAAACCTTAGAAAAAGTAAAACTAGTTCATTGTTTTTTCAAAAGGAATGGCAAGTAAAGCATAAAGAGGTGAAGGAGAGTATGAAGTGCCTTCCTCCAGGGTCCAGGCAGGCCCAGCCCTCCCCACGTTCCCTGGGCCTCAGTGAGAATCATGATGAAGCAAACTGATGGCCTCTGCATGTCACTGCTGGGCCGTCTGCTCAGAGGTTCCCTGAGAACCCAGGTTCCAGGGCTCCTGCTCGCACGTTCTTAGCCTCTGCTGCCTCCTAAAGTCCTGGGGCACCTGTGTTGCACCTGCCATGTGTCTCCAAGGCTGCAAGCCCCACTGGGCAGAAGCTTTTCCGTATTCCCAGTGAGATGAGAGTGCTCTGTCCTGTGTCAGGAACCAGACATATAGATGCTAACAGCAACGACAACAAAAGACAGGCAGGACTGAAAATATCAGAAAGCTGTCTGGGGTGAAGGGATAGAAATCTGCAGTGTCCACAGAGCCATGGAGATGGTAACAGGCCGAGGATGCCCCCAGCTGCCTGCACAGAGATGGGGAAGGCATAGGTGGGGACAGAAAAGGGGAGCACCACAAAGCACAGAGGCCAGAGCCAAAGCTGCAGCCATTCTGCAGACAGTAAGAAGGAAGCACAGAATGCTGGCTGTGTGGCTGTCAGGTGGGAAATCAAGAACTGTACAGAAAAAACCAGCATGGACAATGGACGGATATAAGCAGGAATAGGAACATGAAATGACGTCAGGGATGAGTCTGTGCAGACCTGCCACTGAAATGGAAGGATATTGAGAGGAAAGAGACAAGTGCCCTGCCACAGGTGAATGCCCTCCCTGGCTACAGGGAGAAGTCTAGACATCATAACTGGACAGGGGCCAATCTGAGAGTGCTCAGCACTGCCCAAATTAGGGTGGGCAGGGGCAGCACTCTCACCTGGAGAGCAACTGAAGCAGGAGTGAATTCAGCCCATGATCAAATGTGACCAAATGAGGCCCAATGACGGCAGAGGGATCCCTGCATCCAGTTGGGCCCCAGCCAGCCTTGCTGCACCCCTCCCAGGGAGGCATCAAAAAGGCAGCAGTGGCCATGACAACAAGGGGGGAGCCGCACTCCTTAGAGGCCTGTGCCCAGCCACTGTCACCCCACAGCTTGAGGGTTCACGGTCACATTGCCACTGGCCAGTCAGCCGTACATCAAGACCCCACTGCCCACCTAGCTTTGGTGAGACACACAATACAGAAATAAAATGCGTTGGGCCCAGTGTCATGGCTCACGCCTGTCATCCCAGCACTTTGGGAGGCTGAAGCAGGTAGATCACCTGAGGTCAGGAGTTCAAAACCAGCCTGACCCACTTGGTGAAACCTGGTCTCTATTAAAAATACAAAAATTAGCTGGGCGTGGTGGCAGGAACCTGTAATCCCAGCTACTGGGGAGGCTGAGGCAAAAGAATCGCTTTAACCTGGGAGGCAGAGGTTGTAGTGAGCCGAGATCGTGCCACTGCACTCCAGCCTGGACAAGAAGAGTGAAACTCCGTCTCACTCTCTTGCCCTCGCTCTCTCTCATAAACATACTCAGATACAGAAAACCCATGGCAGAAAGCATTACGTGGTCAAAACAGGCAATTATTAATTATTACTACTAATTCAGCATTCCAGAACCCCTCAAAACAAGCAACTGCCTGGCAGAAAAACTCCAATGGGCAGCTTGACCCAATGGGAAGGAAATAAAATAAGTTGCTGGAGTAAAGCAAAAGGGTGGGTCATTCCAGGACCTCCTCCTCTGCTTTTAATGGACAACGATGTCTCCTCCTCCCAGGTAGCCAGACCCTCTTACAGAGGCTACAGTCTCAGCAAGGAGGAAGGGCCACACCACAGGAGTAACTGTTTCAGGCAAGAATCAGCAATGGTTGCTGATTCTGAAAACATTCCAGGAATCGCAGGTCCTCCAAGCCCAACAAACAGCTTAAAGGCACGATTTGGGGCCAGAATCTAGACAGAAACAGCCTCCTTGGTATACTCGAGAATCTTCAAAGGGAAGAAAAGGAACACATGAATTTGTCTAAATGACTTCACATCTACTGAAACGGGACTCATGCACACTACTCTTTGAACAATCAGAGTCAAGCCACACTAACAAGGCAGTCCCGTCCACCTGGGTTGGGCAGAACCTAACCTGTAGCCCAGGTGGGAGCAGCCCCAGCCACGACATGCACTGCAGTCAAGTCTTCATGCCCACATTTAGAAGTGTCTCCTTTTCTAATGTCTCTCTAAACACCTCATGGTTTAAATTTTAGAGGCTCCATTCCTTTCTTGAGCATTCTGCTTCCCAGGCTTGACAGGACTTCTCCATCATCCCAATTAATTAGCTATTAAAAGAACAAGGCTCTTGGGACGCAGAGGCGGGCAGACTGCCTGAGCTCAGGAGTTCGAGATCAGCCTGGGCAACATGGTGAAACCCCGTCTCTACTAAAATACAAAAACTTAGCCAGGTGTGGTGGTGGGTGCCTGTGGTCCCAGCTACTCAGAACACTGAGGCAGGAGAATTGCTTGAATCTGGAAGGCAGAGGTTGCAGCAAGCCAAGATCGCATCACTGCACTCCAACCTGGGCGACAGAGTGAGACTTGTCTACCAAAAAAAAAGAACAAGGTTCACCGATCACAAACCTACTTCTAATACTGTATGCCAAAGAAGTAGTCTAAAATATGAAATGCGCACACTGATGTTCACCACAGCGTTACTTACAACAACAGAATCTGGAAAGACCCCAGTCGTCCTTAACCACACAGGAATGGCCAAGTAGAGAAGTGGCTGGCTGGGGTCTCAAGGGTACCCTGTCTGGTGCAGCTCTTCAACTGTGCCACTGCAGTGGGATCAGCTGCAGACAGTACATCCACTCTGGCCATGGCTGTGCTCCAATACGGTGTTTTTACAAAAGCACACAGTGGGCACACAGGCAAGCAGATTATTTACAGTGTCAAAAGAAATACAGAGCAAAAGAACTATGAAACACCATGAAAAATGCAATCAGCGTTAAAAAGTATGCTCACAATAATTACAAGAATTAGGAAATAAAACATGCAGGTGCAACTGGCCCACAGGGAGCACGGCCATTCACTGGGCAGTGGCATCAGGGAGTGGCTTTTCTCTAGTTTTAGGACTTTCTGTTTTGTCCCAAGTCAGCGCAACATCTTGTTAGGTTTCTCAGCGACACCAGCCCCCAAGGCAAGCACCCCCTTGTGCTTCCCCTCAGAGGCCGTCCCTCTGCGATCAGCTCACTCAGCACAAAAGGAAGGCCCTTACGAGGGTCTTCAGTCAAGAACATCTTTGAGAGACAAGGGGTGAGAATCTCCGAAAGGAAATAAAAGAAACACATGAAAACACCTCCTCACGGTCACCTCACCAGTAATAGCTTTTAAAATTTCAATGAGAGATAAACATCCAAGGTCAGTGGGCAAGGCTTGGGGCCCACACCCACCTCAGCCACTGTGGGGTCCCCAGGAACCTGCATTCTAGAATCTAACAGCAGAGGGGAAGCACAGGGAGCAGAGGGCAGGGCTCCAGGAGGGATGCCCTGGCCACCTGGCCACGCCTCCACGGCCCACTCACCTCATACAGCCCCTCGAAGAAGGTGTTCTTGTCCTCTGTGCTCCACGACTCCCACTGCCGCCGGACCTTTTTGCCTTCTTCCTTCTCACCACCAGAAGACCCTAAGTTCCGGGAGGAGGAGCGCGAGGCCCCCGCAGGGGCAGCAGAGGCAACCCCAGACACATTTCCAGATGATGATCCTCCACCTTCAGCTCCTGGGAGAGAAAGCACTGTACAGTGATCTGTTCCAGAAAGCCGGTGGGCCGGGCAGGGCAGTGGGCCTGAGGGAGTGAAGGGCCCACTGCCCCGAGGTCCCAGTCCACAATCCTCAACCAAGGACGCTGGCAGGCAGCACCCAAGACCAGGGTGCCAGCGAGGCTGCTGAGGGCTGCCAGGATGCTTACCTGGCCGAATGACTCTCAAATGGTTTTACAATTAGAAAAGGAGAGAGTTTACATGGAACCATGTAACAGCACGACAATGCTGCAGCCTAAGATACACTGTCCACAATGCAGACAGATCCCTTTCCTCCGCAAACTGAAGCCTCACATCACACTTCATGCGTGTTTCTTTTGCAAATGAGGTTTCCGGCTGAAACATTCTTACCACCTTTTCAAATAATTAGGTTGAGATTCAACCTCAAGAAAACATTTAAATGTGTGTAAAATACTACCTTGTTTTAGATATAATCAATACTTCAGAATTTGAAACATTTAATGCCTAAGAATCTTTAGTCTTAAAACTCCTTATCCTCAATGTCCACCAACAAAATGTGGTGTCCCGAGAACAGCCTGATAACCTTGCAAATCCTATCACAGCATCAGTTCCTGAGCTCAAGCTGAGCCCTCTGAGACCAGGCCAGGAGGGAAAAGCCCAAGAAGACCTGAGGAGGCTTCACCCCCCAGCTGTGGACCAAGAACCCCAGGACCCTCTGAGACGAGAGACAGTGATGTGGCAGGAGTCAAAGACCACACAGAAAGACTTTTTATGGCCTGACACACTCCTCCCACCCATCTCAGTTTCTCCTCGCAGGGGGAGCGGGAACTGTCAGCATATCCCTGTGATAACCAGGGTTCACTTTTTATGAAACATTAGGACCATAAAATGCTGGGACATCTTCAAACTCTGAACAAAAACGCTTTAAAAAGCAAAAGCTGGCTGGGCACGGTAGCTCACTCCTGTAATCCTAGCACTTTGGGAGGCCACGGTGGGCAGATCACTTGAGGCCAAAAGTTAAGAGACTAGCCTGCCCAACATGATGAAACCCTGTATCTCTACTAAAGATACAAAAATTACACCTGGGGTAGGGTAGGGTGCGTTGGCTCATGCCTGCAGTCCCAGCACTTTGGGAGGCTGAGGCAGGAGGATCACGAGGTCAAGAGAGTGAGACCATCCTGGCCAATGTGGTAAAATCCCATCTCTACTAAAACTACAAAATAAACTAGCTGGGTGTGGTGGCACACGCCTGTAGTCCCAGCTACTGGGAAGGCTGCGGCAGAAAAATTGCTTGAACCCAGGTAATGCAGATTGCAATGAGCTAAGATCACACCACTATGCTCCAGCCAGAATGTCTCCCCGCCCCGCGCCCCCCGCCCCCGCCCCCGCCAAAAAAAAAAAGCAAGCAAAATCCAAGCAGATGTAGATTACTGTTAAGATGCTTTCCTAATGAGACAATCACAGGCTTTTCCGTCCAGATCTACTTCTTGGTTGACCGAGAATGAGGGCAGCCACATGCAGGCTGGGAGCTCAGCACCTCCCTCGGTGGGGGTCTGCCTCCAAATTTGGAGGTGGAGGTTGCGGTGAGGTGAGATCACACCATTCATTGCACACCAGCCTGGGCAACAGAGATTCACGCTTAAAAAAAAATTTTAAAAAGAAAAAGCCTCTCAGTCCTACCAGCCCCATTTCTGGTAGTCAATGGCCACATGCGGCCATCATTAGAGAGCGAGCTGCCAGACAGTGCTGCACCTGAATGTCCAGCATTCAGTTGAGAGCACACTGCCGTGGAATAAAACATGAGTTCCAAGCGTGTCCCACCCAGGCTGCTTTCCAGCTGCTCCATTCCCATCCTGCAGAGACAAAAGAAACAAAACCCAGGTATGCTCTGTGCTACACGTGAAATACCTCACATGTTATCTGGCCCTGTCCATTCCTCACCAAACCAGGACCTAACGAACCTGGTGCTTCCCAAGAACCTAGTGCTTCCCAAGATGAAGGGCAGGTTACAGATGTCATTTGAAACGTAACTGTTAAATACAAGGCGCTCTGCTTCACCAGGAGTCTGTAATTCCTCACGTGGAGTCATTTCAGGAAGGACTGCCTGTCCACCTCTGCACCACCCACAACAAAGGCTTTCAGAGCCACTTACAGGTTCCTAAGAAACACTCACTAAACTCTCTTCTTCCAAGACCACAACTTGCTAACCAGCCCTGCCGTTAAATATCAGGTTTGTTTTTGCTAGCCCATGCTGGCATTATGTATATTTGAAAAAGTAACACACATAAATTTTCTAAAATTCTATAATCCAGATGTCTTGCTAAATTTTTTGAGATTTTACTGGATCACAACACTAGTGATCCAAGACAAAGAGAATGAAACAGTAAAGGCTAACGGAATGAACAGTCGGAGCTGGACCAGCTCTCAGAGGTGGAGAGGAGGCAAAAGCTCACCTGAGACAAGAAAAGGCGGCACAACAGTAAAGGCAGCTCTGGCGAGGCTGATGAAGCGGCACCTACTCCTCAGAGGAGCAGGCCACCTCCCAGCAGCCCGAGGCTGGTGCAAGGGGCTTGCCTTTTCTCCTGTTGTTTTAGAAATGACACATTGCCAGTAAAGAAAAGCAGAGCAAGATCAACATTCAGAAAAGAAGGCAGACCTGAGATTGGGATTTCGAAACCAGCCTGGCCAACATGGTGATACCCCATTTCTACTAAAAATACAAAAATTAGTCTGGTGGTGGGCACCTGTAATCCCAGCTACATTGGGAGGCCAAGGCAGGAGGATCACTTGAGGTCAGGAATTCGAGATCAGCCTGGCCAACAAGGTGAATCCCCATCTCTACTAAATATACAAAATTAGCCAGGCATGGTGGCACATGCCTATAATCCCAGATACTCAGGAGGCTGAGACAGAAGAATCACTTGAACTTGGGAGGCAGAGGTTACAGTGAGCCAAGATCGAGCCACTGCACCCCAGCCTAGGCAACAGAGCAAGAGACTCTCTTAAAAAAAGAAAATAAAGTAAAATAAAAGCAGATTCTCCGGCCTGGTGGCACATACCTGGGTAGCTGAGGTAGGAAGACTGCTTGAGCTCATGAGTTCAAGACCAGCCTGAGCAACACAGGGAGACCTTGTCTTTGCAAAACGAAACAGATTATAAAACCCAAAAAACAGAAAAGAAAGCCAATCACCCCCAGTAACCTTTTCTAATATTTGGTGCCCATTATCCTACTTTTTATTCTATTCCATTTTGGTGGCGTTGGATAGGCAGTCTTGCTCTGCACCCAGGCTGGAGTGCAGTGGTGCAATCTTGGCTCACTGCACCCTCTGCCTCTGGGGTTCAAGCAATTCTGGCACCTCAGCCTCTCAAGTAGCTGGGATTACAGGCACACACCACCACATCTAATTTTTTGTACTTTAGTAGAGACAGGGTTTCACCATGTTGCTCAGGTTGCTCTCGAACTCCTGAGCACAGACAATCCACCTCAGCCTCCCAAAGTGCTAGGATTACAGGCATGGTCCACTGTGTGCAGCCTAAACTTGGAAAGCTTTTTAAAAAAGAACCACAACTTCAGAGCAGAAATTGAAGTGGCCTCTGGTTCATCCCTAAAATTTCAGATGCAGAGACCGCTTCACTGCCTGACCTGTAGCTCACTCACTGACTCCAGGCCAAGTAAAATGGGAAAGTGGGAGCAGAGACACCTGGTAGAATACAAGGATGACCACCTGGGCAGGACCACACTCAGCTTAGAGAAATTGAGATGAAAACAGAAGGTAATGATTGAAGGGGAAGGCAGAGAAGCAACAAGAAAAATGAAAGCAGAAAGGCAAGAGATGGCAAGAGAAGATGTAAACAAAATCAGGTGGGCATGGGGGCTTCTCCGGGTGCAGGATGCTCAGTGAAAAGCAGAAGGTCAAAACCAGGTCTGTCTGTGAATGTTGCTGAGACCACAGGGGCTGTGCATAATCTGCACGATAAGGAGCACCATCAAGAAGCCTGGAGGGAAGCGGGTACAATAGCATGATCCCTGACAGTGTTTTCGTTGTTTTTGAGATGGAGTCTTGCTCTTCTGCCCAGGCTGGAGTGCAATGGTGTGATCTCAGCTCACTGCAACCTCCAGCTCCTGGGTTCCAGCGATTCTCCTGTCTCAGCCTACTGGGTGCCCACCATCAAGCCCAGCTAATTTTTGTATTTTTAGTAGTGATAGGGTTTTACCGTCTTGGCCAGGCAGGTCTTGAACTCCTGATCTTGTGATACACCTGCCTTGGCCGCCCAAAGTGCTGGGATTACAGGCACGAGCTATCGTACCCAGCCAACAGTGAGCTCTTTGAAAGCAAGAACCGTGAGATTTTCCCACGCCCAAGCCTGGTTCTAGGCCTCACACACGGCAAGTGCTCCGTGACAGGACAGAGTCCGGTGGAGCCCAGATAAAGGGCCTCCCCATGCTCCCTTTGCCCCACAGCAGCCCCAGGCCACTAGGACCCAGGTCCTCCCAAACAGAACCCGCCTTTCCACTCAGCCTGGTCACCACCATAATTCTCCAGCAGCCACACTGCCTGCCACCTGCTTCCCCCTTCCCATCTGCACCACGTTTCCCAAGCCAGCTCTGTGTTGCCCAGTAAGACAATTTCAACAGCCTCCTCTTGGGTCTCCCAAATCCGTAGCACCTGCTGCAGCCTGCTGTGCAGTGTGCTGGGAGGGCTGCTGTGAGGGCGCAGCCATGTGGCCCCAGTGCACCTTCCCCGTTGCCGGCCCCTCTATCTAGCTCCAGACAGGCTGGACCACCTGCTCTTTGCAACATGTCCTCTTCCCCATCACATGTCCTGGGTTGGCCTGGAATGTCACCACCTGCACTCCTTTCTATCACCTTAAGATGACAAAATTATGTATATCTTTCAACTGGGGAAGCTGAGACACGGGCTGAGTAGGTCACCCACAAAGCCACACACCTACTCACTGCCCAGCAGGCCTGGAAATAACAGAAGCTATATTTAAACGG